ATACTATATTACTTAAATAGATGTCATATTATTGAAGTATATTACATACTAGATATGAGTATTAAATTTTTGTTCATCACAACCTAACCATTAAAAAAATTATTAGTGATCAAAGTTGCAACTGTAACCATCAGTGATGACAAATATAATGGAACGGAAGACTTCTTTTTCTTTTTTGCCAAAATCTCTGTATGGGAAGGCCCCCACAGTGTAAAATTTATTAATATGAAAAAAGGTATAATTTCATACCTGGATTTTACTGATAGAGATTATTTCACTACTATCTTAATTTTTTTTGTTTGGCCTTAATTTCAAGACGAGTAGACATGCACCGGATTGTTCTCCTGTATGAATGCCTTCTCTCTAACAAATTAATGCCTAAGGTGGTCATCATTCCATGACTAAGCACCGAGCTAAGACGCTTTAATTTTTGGTAAACAAAATGTCATTTTGTAACTATAATTTTGTCTATCAGAGATCGTACTAACTAGATTTTATTCAGAAAAGTTCCAGTTAGGATACTTATAATTATTTAAGTGACGCTAATCCCACTAGCCAAAAGAGGGCAAACAACTCACTTGAAAACCGAAGAAAATGCATTTTATATTTATTTATCACTTCAGCGTCCAGTCACCATTCCCACAAATTCGTACAACAGCCTAGGGTCTAACCCAAGATAAATCACGAAACTGAAAAGATCAATGCCACTTCTGCACCCCGCTTAAATAAAAGGTAGATCTGATCTTTTCTTTCGAACTTTACACGTCAATAAGGCATAGCTGATCTTGCCATTTTTTATTTTTCAAAAATAATACGAGAAGAACTCAGACAATATTCTTAATATATTCAGCCTAATATTGGCTGTGTTCGGAAGAGCTAGGAGTGGCAACGTTGTAGCCACACCAAGAGGACCTACCAAGCAAATTTGTACTAAAAGCGCTGCAGCTGTACAACCACCATCTAGCTGAACTGAACATACCCATTATACGAGTGGGAGAAATAGCGGCCAATACGGTCTACAAAATTTCTCTCTACAAACAATTTGGTATATCATTTGGTCTAATATTAACAAATCATTAAAATTTATCATCTGGTCTAATATTATCCATGGGCCTATATATCCAAATCATCGTGGGGATATGCCATATTATCTTCCCATACAAAATCTATGTGAAATATCTGATTTACCTTTATCAGCTATATGTTGGTCTCTATGGTTGAGCAGTAATAATATGGTTTCTATAATATATATTATGCCACATGACAGGTTTTAAAAGCAGTCTTAAGGCTGAACCAGTCTAAAGCAAAACTAATCATCAAGCAAAACTTAAGGGACTGGATCAGTCTCCTCTATCGTTTCGAAAAAAAAAACAAGATTTGGTGGGAGACACGTGCCTCCAAACACTTTGTATGAAGAAGTTGTGGGTGTGTGGATTGAACATCAGAACTCGGGATTGAAACCACATACAACTTGCCATTACACTATCAAGTGCATCTTTTCAAATACAATGATCTTTGTGTAAAATGGTTAAATAGCTGAAAATCTGTTAGAATTATTTAAGGGCACAGATGAAATTAAGCATTACAAAACTAAAAAAAATGGATATAAAATAGTATTTAAAAATCATATTAGATAGTTTTTACCAAACTCACAAAATTTTTAGATGGTCGAGAAACATACATGTAAACCTATTGTTCCGTACCTATAGCTATTACAGTACCAGGCATATCTAGTGGCTAGTAATAACCAACTGCAAAAATAAGTAAAAGTTGTTTATAGAAAATACTAACAGTTGTATACTCACTCAGTTTTGAAATATATGTAATTATGTGTGTGTTTTAAAATGCATCCGGAAGTATAAGGATGTTAAGATGCATTTGGAAATCGCGTAGAAATGCTTATATTTACAACAGATATAATATAATTTATTTGTTAAAAAAAGTTACATGGATTCTTTTGGGGAAAACAAATATTACATGGATAATATTTGTACCAATCAATAACAGGAGTATATATTGGTGGTATAATGGCACAACTGATCAGCAAATATGAAGTTATGAACCGTTGAAAGGAAAAATTTTCGCCGGGCCCTGCTAGAACTGAAAACGATGGACGTATACACCAAAACAAAACACTTTTGACCGTCGTCGTCGGCAACCAAGATGTGTACAGAAAATATGTGCGTACGTGACACACCAAAAATTGTCTGCCATCATTAGTTATTAATTTCCACTTTATCTTCGATCATGTGCGGCGCCACGACCAGAAACCGTATGCAAATAAAGCATTATTAAAATTTATGTTTGATAAGCGCATCAGATCGCGTTGGCCATTAGCCAAGTGGTTTGCGCTTAATCAGTTTATGCACATTTGTTTATCAACTGTCCAACTGCTACCGGGAAAGCAAGTGCATAGCATGTCATATCTGAATGTTAGGTCTAACTTAACTCTCTCGTTTTCTACGTGTACACTTTTCAAACTATTAAATAGTGTGTTTTTTTAAAAAAATATATAGTAAAGTTGCTTTAAAAAAACCATATTAATCTATTTTTAAAAAAATAATACTTAATTAATCATGTGCTAATGAGTCATTCTGTTTTAGTGCGTGAGGTATGAGTTTCCAACAACAAACAACGAAATCGGACTAACTCTAATGGTCCGTCCGTTTGAACAACTCGGTGAGATTTTGCTCGGTATGGAAAACAAAATCAGTCTAATTCTAATAGTCCGTCCGTTTAAACAACTCGGTGAGATTTTGCTCGGTATGGAAAAAGAGTATTAGCAGGTGACTAATTAACTATTATAAACTTAAAAATCTATTATTTTATATTTTTAAGAAACTTTTATATATAAAGTTTTTATGAAACCTCCTATTTAACTGTTTAAGAAACGTGACTATAGATAATGAGGAAGTTGCTCACCCGAATTGCTGAATCAAACTCAATTTATATCTAGTTTCAAATAGATTATTGACTGAATTGTTATAGTAGGTTGTTTACACGATTATAGATATCAATTAAATATTTTGACAAACAAATTTAATAGTAGTTAACTTAGAATAAGGGAAGTAAATTAATACATCAGAAGATTAGAGTCGTGGAACAAATTAATAGTCTACGATAATTATCCAATGAAGTAGCATGATCTAGTGCATTGAACCGGCCGGCCATGTGACTAGTGTTGACAGAAGCAAAATAACATTTAAAGAAGTGAGTTAGTTAATTGGTCTAAATGGCAGCAATGTTTGCTAGTAGCTAGCTGTTTGTCGGCAAAAAAAAAAAAAGAAGAAGAAGAAAAAGGTGATGGGTATGATGGCTAGAGAAAGTAAGTTTGGATTAGTTAATTATCCCAATATGCAGATTATCCTAGCTATTGGATATGGTATTTCTTCCCACTCTCGGCAATGCATGCTGACTAAGTTGTTCGATGAACTACTAGTAGTGTCTAGTGCTACTACAATATATACACACTAGCTCTCTTGATATCCAGTGAACTGTTAGGGAGATAAAAAGTTGTGATTCTTTTTCACCTCTTTGATATATAACACATGTAATTCTTGTATTGATGTTGATCAGTTGATGATCCTTGGATGTGACCAGAAAAGCCTTTTGCCCTCAGCATCCACAAGTAATTAACGTACGTGCTTATCCATATACGCAGAGGTGTGATCGATCGAACCAATCCGATCGAGCCCAACCCAATTAAACGGCTGTCTGCGTGCTGATAGCCCATTGCTAAGCTTAGGTCTAAAAGCCCATTTCAGCAGAATGATCGTGCCGTTGTCTAGCTCTGTTTTTATCCATTTGCTCCGTGACGACGTGACGTTGTTGCCTGTCGCTCTTGCAGACACAGATCATATATATCGGCAGTAAAAAAGTACGTAGCAAAACGCTCGACGTCTGTGTAAAATCACCCCCTGTAATTGACGATTCAGGAGTCGACAAGAGGCTCGAATTGCAGATACGGTGGTCGATCAATTAAGCTAGGAGGATAGCTAGTGCCTAAGCGGCAAAAATCCACCGTGCAATTCAGGATATATATTGGTTAAGAGTAATATAGTTGACTAAGTGGCTGGGGCTGTATGCCAAGATAGATTTTAGATAGAGATGAAAAACCTTTTAAGATTAAGGCCCGGGTCGATTTGACATGTAACGAAGGTGCGCGATAGCACAACCCCTAAAAATTTGGAGCCTTAAAATTTCCATGTTTTACTTCAAAACAATGTATCTCGTTCTACTGATTTGGCTAGAATGAGTTTATTTTCTGTTTAAGTAAAGAAATCGAATAAATTGCATCAGGACCCATTTGTCGTTGCTGGAACCTCATTTTGTGTTAGCAGCGGTCCCTAACAATTTAGGTACGGCCCTGGGCTCTAGTCCTGGCTCATATACACTCTGATTTTCTCTCTTTTTAATAAAGTAAATATAATTTTCTCTGCACTAACTAAGAATACACGTATATCGCGGTGTGGTTGTATTTTCTTTTTCTGGTATGTGCTCTTCCATGACTATAGATTGTATTTTTCTCCTGCTTTATAAATACATGAAACTCGCACTATCTTGTGCGGTTCGTTTCAAAAAAAAAAGAATACACATATATAACTATATACACCTCTGTATTTTAATAAATCGTGCTATTGACTTTTTGTCACGTGTTTGACGATTCGTCCTATTATAAAAAGGTTACGTAATTATAATTTATTTTGTTGTGAGTTATTTTATTACTTAAAATAATTTAAATACGATTTATATCTTATACATCTGCATGAAAATTTTGAATAAGATAAATAATCAAACATGTGTTTAAAAGTTAATAGTATTATCTATTAAAAAATAGATGGAGTATATATTTCTGGACAGCAAAATTTGAAACATAGTACGTGGATATACGTGGTCATACACCCACATCTGAACCTGTTATGTTTTTGCATGTACGTACTGTGAACTTGTGATGAGGCGTGATCAGCTGCCTCACTCGCGCTCTCTATATAAGCTAGCCGATCAGGGAGTACGTGAACGCCATCAGCAAGCGATCAAACACTGATCGAACCCCAGTAGCTGAAGCTAACGACGATCGAGAATAAGAAGATCGACGACGATGAGGCCTCGTGTTGTCCAGGTATGGTGCCTCATTGTGCTCGCCATGATCGTCGTCTTCGCGGCGACGCCGGCAATGGCGGCCCGCGACGGCCGCCGGCTTCACCCGCCGGCGCCGGCGGCTCGCGGCGGCGGGGCGTGGAACAGGGTGAGTGTGACGGCGGAGATCGTCGGCGGCGGCGGCAAGTGGGAAGTCCCCGGCGGACCTGACCCGCAGCACCACCACTAATCTGATGATATAATCGTTTTCGGGTGAGGATTCTCTATCATAATATAACTTTCATTATTGTTACCGACACGTCGTCAGTTCCTATAATAATAGTGCTATTATGATAGAGGATGTAACTCACGGTGACGTCGACTTAGTTTGGTTTGGTCGGACTCAGACTGCATGAGTGAATGAACGAATAATAAATCGGCAATGTTTGGAGAATCCATGCATATGCTGCAGGAATAATGCATGGAGAATCTTTATGTAATCCCTTGTGGTTTCCTATGTGCTTTGTGATCATTATTTTACTTCCTGGGTGATGTCGTTACTTGTTAGTGCTTTTAAACTGAAGTGCAAACGGTTGGTGTTTGTTAGTGTCCTTTTTTGTGAACTGAGTTAGCCCTACGTTAATTGATAACTGAAGATACAAAGGCAAGCTTTGAAGCTTAGCCAAATAATCGATGAGAAATATAACAATAACGATGGAGAAGCGCTAACATTAACAGCTTAATTAACAAGAACAAACTCGAAACGAACTGTATGGCCTGGTAATTACAGTAAATACAAGTAGGTGCACTGCCATTTCAGTAAATGGAGATGCGCTATGTTCCTTCAACGTTGTAAGAAAGAAGTGCAACGCTATGCACACTCAAAACAGTAATTCAACTTTCAAACAGCTTCTAATTTACAAACTCAAATTAACCTCATGTGCTCTTCAGAAAGGCTATACTAGAACACGAACAGTCGAATCAAACATGTAACCACACAACGTACAAAATCGATCATTTTCATGCTACTGGATGTTCCTTGCACGCATCAATGCTTCTATTTTCTCAACATCTTCAGGCGCATCCACACCATGGGCATCATGATCAACTTTGATTACCTGTTATCAACGAGGATAATGAAAATTCAATTCAGCAGTATAAGGCATAAGCTAGCAAACGCGACATTTGTATACACCATATAAAGGCTTACGATACTGAACAATGAATAGCATGCACTGATGCCTACCATCACAAATTTGTCTTTGACCCATACAAGTTCACCATCTTGGCATTATAACGAACATAAGATGTGGGTTGTGGTATGATTGATAAATGTTACTTGTTCTAAAACAGGAATTTCCAACAATAACACGCAGATGACCTAATTTTTCCAGGAGTCATAGCAAAACAGCATAGCAATAACAAATACAATTTCTATCTGGCTTACCTTCATCCTGTATCCATTTTCAAGAACTTTAAGTTGCTCGAGATCCTCTTCTAGCTGTAATGGAGTTGGTGGAAGCTCTGGATAGATCTTCAAAAACTTGGAATCAAAGCCCTTCATGAAAAAAAGGCACACTATGAAGAGTAGGCACTACAGGCTACAGGAGTATCCAAAAGAAAATAACACAAAGCTGAGAATGAAGTATGAGTTGATAAATACCGCAATGCCCAGATGAAGAAGATATGGAAACTGAGGATTGACTTTCCCTGATCTGAAATGTTCAAAATTGCAAGTGACAATTTGATCGATTTAATAGCATCATCTATTAAAAAACGGAGGTAGTATCTCACTTATTAAATGGAATCAGCCCTCTTGAGAAGTATATTGCATAACCCTGGTTATCTAAAACACACTTCACTCGATTTGTATCAGATGCATCTTCAGGTTTCAGTGCAGTGACAGCTGTGCTAAAGACTGCATCAGGAGCTCGCTGCAAGCCAAATTGAAGGACATCACTAGAGCAAGTAAATTACGTGAATTAAAAGGAGATGCAAAAGGTAAAAGATAAAAAGGAGTGCAACATCAAGTGCACTCTGTATTCTCCAATGAAGAATTTAAAACTTTCAATGTATTCAAGTCTAAGCTTGCTTATGATAAAATAAAAGCCCTAGTTCAAAAAAATATCTAATAAAAATTTGTTTATTTGATGGGAACTGCAAAAACTAGCAAGATATAGTTTACATAAGTAACAACCTGTAGTGCCATAACTACACCATCTATTATCTCTGGTTCAATAAGAGGCTCGTCTCCTTGAATATTGACAACAATATCATAATGCTTGTTTAGCTTTTGAAGAGCCTCACAGCAACGCTCAGATCCTAAATGAAGCATATGCCAACGAAAAACATGTAGGGGTTAATCAAGTAATCATGGAAAGGGCAAATAATGACAAAACAACATAAGCTGTACCATTTCTGCATGATTCTGATGTCATTATTACATCAGCTCCGAATCCTCTACAACATTCAGCTATTCTTTCATCGTCCGTTGCCACGACTATGACACAGAGAAAATGGTGAGAATGGCTGAGTGGACTGGCAGTATCAAAACGATTAGCATGTGCAATGCAGATTCAAAAACACCTACGACTAATATCATGAAAGAAAAGTTATAAACAACAATTACTTGTACAAATGGTGTCACAAAAGAGAGATAGGCCACAAGTCAAAATATACGATGATACTAAACATAATGTTTTGAGCAGAAACAGGAAAAGATTAAATATAAGATTTATGAGCTTGGACTTACCAACATGGTCCAAAGAGGAGGCTAACATAACTCTTTCCCATGTTCTCTGTAAAAGTGTAAGGTAAAAGTTTCAGGACTAACTAGATCTGCTTAGGACAAAAAAAATTCCCAACATGAGGAACTACACAGATTATTCAACAAACCAACTTGCAAGATATCATATCAACGTTATCCAATAGGCAATAGTGCATTCTATATGTCAATCACATAGAAGATAACTTGAAGTAGCATAATCCCTCATCAGACAGCTCTGGTCTGTGGCACTAACCTCGGTGCTCAAAGTAATATTAATAATACAACAAAATTGCATTCACTTTAAAGGACTCCTTAAAGTCCTTAGGGTAAATTAGGCATCCCCACCTAATTTGCCGTAGTTATGAAGTAAAGAGATGTTACAATGTGAATTCTGGACGAAACGCAAAATGAGAACCCTCATTCCACAGCTCGAAACAACCAAGAAACTGCGACATGGTATAACAACATCTAACATGTAGAAGAATATCGAAGGTCTTGACGCGTACGACCATGTCGCACGTAACGAAACGAGCAATTCCCAATAATGGAATCCAACTGAAAGCTCAGCAAGTCACTGCTGCTGCTGCTACTGCCTACTACTGTAGTGAAATTGCATCCTGATGAAGAGGACGCCACAGGCACAGCAGCAGCAGCAGCAAATCGCAACGAGAAAACACGAATGGAACTCATCTCGCGGGTTTTCATCACCGATTCCATTTCCTCGCTTGAATTCCTCAGCACAAGCTTTCCACTCGCACTCTCAGATCCAGTCTCAACACGCGAAGCAAAAGCGCAAATCAAGCGGGTGGCGTAGGCGGTAGGACGGGAGTCGGGACCTACCTGTATCATGGGCTTGCCGAGGATGGGGGCGAGCGGCTTCCCCTCGAAGCGGGAGGAGGCGAAGCGCGCCGGTATGATGCCCACCGCGCGGCCGCGGAACCCGCCCGGCCGCCTGTACAAGTAGGCCGCGGCCGCCGCAGCCGCCGCCGCCGCGCCGAGGGCCAACCCGTGGAAGATCAACGCGCGCCCCCCCAACCCCGGCGCCGGCGAGGATTCCGACGACGGCGGGCAGATCGGCATCTCCGCCGGCTTCTTCGCACGGCGGCGCCGCTGATCCCCACTGCGACTGCGACTGCGACCGCCACGTGCCACCGACGCGATGCTGGTGAGCGGCGAGTTTGATGCGCCGCCGAAGCAGCCAGGCCCAACCTAGCCTGGCCCGTCTACTTCCCTGGGCCTAGCCCAAATGCCACGGATGCAACGAGGAAGTAGCAAGTCTATATTTTCTCCCTATGTCTTACCCTCGATCGAATTGCATCCCTCGACCGTAACTTCCAAAGCCGGTGCAAAATTGCTCCTCCAAATGAGGAATCAAAACTGAGGAAAAAAAATAGTAGCTCAGTTCACCCGATTTTCTTGTTCTTGATTCACACCGAGACTGAAGTGAACCACTGTTGAAACTCAAAATCTCGTTAAATTTGTGCATTTCTAAAGAAAACGTGAGACTTGAAACAGAGTTGACGACGTCAGCATTTTCTTTGCATTACTTAACTTGCAGGGAAATGCATATCAAGTGATCTCTCGTCTCATCGACAATGTCAACAATTATTGTCAACAAAGTAGCGCTTGATTAAGCACGGAATTGACTTATTGCAGATGGGGCATGATGAGATCGTACGCGTGAAACATATACTTCCTAGGCTACACGTCATTGGCTCGTAGCACGCAGTGTACATAAATACACCATCTGGTCCATGCGGGACGAACTAACTCTTCGTATGCTTCACGTGTGCATTTCATAGCTCTTGCTGTCTATTCCAAGACATGAATGGACAAAAGCTACCGCTAATTATCCACACGCCTAATTAAACACACGCCGTGTGTACGAGGATTACGTGCTAATTGCACAACTCCTCGACCATTTCCCTCGGCCACTTCTACGAAAAAAACTCGAGCTACCTTCAACGAAGGGCACCTGAACTGAAACCGACCGACGCAATCACAAACGCACACACAAAGCATTACTCAATTCCTACGAACTGAATGCAAATGCACAAGGGAATGAATGAATGATATTACGAATCAGTTGCTTCTGAGAGTTTCTGAAAACGAATTGATCGAGCTGGATTCGAATCCTGTCATTTCAATTCCGTGTCATTTTCCGGCGTTTTGGACGGGTGCGGCCAATGGTGACAGAAAGGGATCGATCAAGGGGGACATTACCAGCCACTTAATTTGTTAGTACTATTTTTTTTGTCCCGATTTAATTAAGCACGGCCACAGATTTCGTGTGGCAGGGACGGCGCGTGACCCGTCAGCAATTCACCAAACCTAAGCTTCGATCCGGCCATATCATTTTCATTTTTCTCTTAGCTCCAAGAATCCAATTCATCGTGACGTCGGTATCGTCCCCATGAAACTGAACCGCATCATCTTTTCATTTATACTTATACTTATCAGTTAAAATTTAAGTTTTTAACTTTAATTTTAAAGTTGATTTTAGAAATTTTTCATCATAGTTTATTTTTTAGTCTCCACTATTAGATCATTGAGAACACGTATGTAAAAGTTATATCCACAAGTGTTTATTTTTCATTTGTAAATATACCGTTTTGCCTTTTTCTCTAGCGGAGCTAGAACGAAATAAAGTGAGGTGCCACTTGTTTAATTTACTCTACTTTATATCAAGTTTAAGATGATACGAGTGTCTAAATTTATATTAAGAGTGATGCATACATGGTGAAAATAGATGGGTTTGCCTGCGTGCGTTTATAGAGATGAGTGCGCGTGTGTTGTGAATGTATATGTTGTACTGTGTAATTTTAAAAAATAAGTTATAGCTATAATATTTTCTTGACCAGGTTTCACCCGCTCAATACCCTAGTTCCGCCTCTGTCCTATAGTAGGATAAACAATGGGGTCGGAATCTTTTTCCCTCGTGTCTATCCACAAACGCCACCGTGGCCTCCCGTTCGATTCGTTCGGTTCGCAATCACACCAGAATTATTAACCACCGGATTGGTGGTAGAATGAGAATTCAAATCGTTTTTTTTATTATTGTGGTTTTTGTGATGTGTGGATGCTGCACTGCTTACCAGCAGTAGTAGGAAATCGAAGTTTCTAGGTTAGTTAGGGGAGAATGCGGAAGAAGAAAAAAAATCCTGGAATAATTAAGCACGTACTTACGATATCTTAGTCTATGATTGTACGCAACTTGGAACTTTTGATAAGCTGTAATGCGTATTTGACTCGCCAAATTGGGGTTTTCATTAATTCCAACTTGCCGATGCGATTTGCCTGGCGTTCATTTTTAAAACGCATGTATAAGTAGGAGTAGTACGTTTTACTTGTTTAATAGGAGTACTAATGACGTAAGTATACAAGTCGATGCAGAGATCAAAGCACGTTTGTCTACTGACTTGGCTTCGCCAACTAGCCTTTCCAATTGTAAAAATGCAAGTACTAGTACTGTAACTAATGTTAGGAACAAGTCAAAACTTGTCTAGAGTGTTCCACAGCATTTGTTTCTATTTCCTTCTGGGTGCTACAGATCTTAATTAAACTTTTTAGAATTTTCGGCTGATGTTTTTTGGCATATTGGTTGACTTCGGGTCTCCGGTTAAAACCTCCTAAAAGAAATAAACGAGCCAAAAGATTTTTAGAACATTACTTGTATGTTTCTACTCTTAAGGGTTAATAAAAAATACACAACCAAAAAATAAAATATGATAAAAAATACATATAATAATTTAAAATGTTGGATACGGCTTACAAATCAATCAGCAAACAATAAAGTGTCTATTTTTATAATAAAATTCATTTTCATTCATGCTTCAAATTGTCGACGTTTGATATCGCGATTCCGGTATTTGCATAGTATTGGAATCGTTAGTACTAGGATATATACGAGATTGAGGTAAAAGAGATGGAGACATTAATTTTTATACAGGTTCGGGCCTCTGAATTGTTATGTAATAACCCTACATCCTGTTGGCCGAAGCCGGTATTGCTCTTATTCACCATAATCACACCAGTACAATATTTGGGGTAGCCTATCTAACTTTTGTCAACATGGCGGTCTGAAGATCTGACTCGTAGTCGACAACAGGTAGTCTTCCTCCTCGAATCCGTACCCGGCGAGATCAGAGACAGCGCTTTTGTCTCTCTTGACAGTATCCGGAGACACCGTAGGGGACTAGCCGTACTTATCCCTGAATTCGATATCCGGCATCTTGTCTTGGTGTATGTTGGCTTGTATGTTGATCTTCTGTTGTTCCGTAGACTGTGGTGGGTGTGTTGATTGAGGTGGTCGTCTCCTCTCCTCCTAGGGGGCCTTGTATTTATACTCATAGGTGTCCCATTGTCCAAGTAGAACTAGGAAAACCAATATGGATATAATCCGAGTAGTACTTGTCGTTTCCATGTAGAACTCTGGTTGTCTTTCCTTATGTGGAACTCTTCCTATATCCGCAGGTTGTTTTCGTATAGGACATGGTATGTGGTGGGTCCTGTCGAGATTTAGTCAACTACTATTAGGTATGTGGTATCTATAACCCTGACAAAAATAAACTATAACCAGTTATTATAGCTACTGTAAATTGTAAAATTACGGCTTAATTAAAAAAACTACTTATAATACAACGTTAAAGATAGAGATAACAACACTGACGACTAACATCGAATCAAAACGGAAGATAGTGTCAGAGGGTAACTAAGCTGCATCTTGTTTTGGCTTAGGTGGTGTTCTTTTCCCCTGAAGATTAAGAAGACGAAGATTAAGTTTTTTACGCAAAACGAGGTGGTATTAACGTATTATTAATTAAGTTTTAATTATTACAAAGTTGAAAAATAGATTAATATGATATTTTAGAGCAATTTCATATAAAAAGTTTTCGTAAGAGACACACCGTTTAGCAGTTTGAAAAACATGACACGAAAATCTTTATCTTCATATTCATCCAACTCTTGTTAGAGAAAAGAACGAGATCTTAATCTGGTTGGTTTAGGCTTTTAAATTGACTTTTTTTTTTGGCTTTTAAGCGTTATAAGAAAGAAAACCACTCAAACCTATACGTCGGTCCTGTTACACTCATTGTTTTTAAAATTTAATATACTTTTCGTGACATTTGCCAGCTCGTTTTATTAAAAAAAATATGTACATATAATTTATTTTGCTGGAACATGTTTTATCATTGGAAAACTTTTAAGTACAACTTTTAAGATAAATGATCAAACGTTATTCAAGTCAACAATGTCACCTATTTAAAATACGAAGGCAGTATTATCTCTAGATTCGTTGAAATGGATTAGTTATTTAACGCTTCGAAAAAAACACATTTTTTTTAAAAAGATACTTTTCTCTACTGTATTGTTTGGACCATTTATTACAAATCATTTGTTAAGTTTATTTATCTATATAATAAATAGAAAAATTATAGTACTAACAGTTCGTTCAAATATTTCAAACTGACCCGCGTTTTGGCTGATGACTTCTTTTCCTTTAAATAAAAAAAAATCCATACCTTCCAATCCATGATCGTGGAAAACGCCGGCGACTTGGTGGAAGCGGCCGCGCCGCGTCCTCGTCCTTCCTCGTCCACAGTCCTCGCGTACGGGGGATGCAGCGAACACGGCCGGCGGCCATTTGACCCTGCGCGCGGATCACGAGCCCCACCACCACACGCCAAACCCGCCCCGGATTCTGACCCGCCACCCGCCTTGAGCCTTTCACCCCCCCGCCTATTTTTCCTTTTTCTTTTTCTTTTCTTTTTCCCTTTTCCTTTCTCTCCGTATTTATTCCGTCCCCGCTTGGAACAAACCCAACTCGTCTCTACTCTCCACTTTTCTTTACGTTTTACTCCTCCTTTTCTCCTCTTCCTCTTCCCTCTTCCCTCTCTTCGCTTCCACTCCTCCCCACCCACGCCTCCTCCTCCTCGCTTCCCCGACCATCGCATCGCGGCGCAGCGCAGCGGAGGAAACCCTAGCGCAGCAGCAAGCCACCGCCGCCGCATGGCGTCCCCGGCGCGGCCCGCCGCAGCCTCCGTCTCCGGCGCCTTCGGCCTCTCCGCCGACCCGGCGCGGTGCTCCTTTGACCAGACGCTCCGCCGAGAGGTGAGCGAGATCTCTTTGTGTTCGGTGATGTTTTGCTTCGTTCTGGGTGTGTGTTGGTGAGAACGGTGGCTCGACTCTCGCCTTGGGGGGGGGGGGGGGTGCAGCTTTTTGCTGTCTGCTTCTGATTTCGTGGAGATGCGGGGAAAGGTTGGGAGTTCTCGTCTGTTGTTTGTGCGTAGCGGTGGATCTGCGAGCTCGTCAACCATTTCGATGATGTGCGAGGTTGCACACTGTTCTATGTGATTTGTTCTGACCGATTTGAATTTCAGAAATGAACGAGACAGCCCACTTTTCGTTTTCATGTGGAGATTTCGTCTTAATTTTGGCCGATTTGTGGGATTTGCGGGTGTTTCGTTACGACTAGGGTTTCACTGTTCCTTGTGCAAAACGGTAGCTGCAAATTTTTGAGGGATTTGTCCTGTGTGCTTGCTGCGGATATGCTACTTTTGATTTACTTCTCATCGTGTTTATAATCAATCTTAGGTGTTGTCGTGACATATCACTTCTGTTATCTTAAGATTTTTTTGGTCGTTCTACTGTTACATCTTCCGAATTTGCTTCTTCTGCTGTTTAGATTTAAACACGCCGGGAAGTAATCATTCGTTGGGTGTGTTAGCTATCAATATACATTTCTTGTAACTTGTAAGTTGTAACCAGATGAAGATCTGGAGTCAACTTGGTGATGTTCACCCTTTATCAACACATATGAACGTATTATATTTCTTAGCTTAAATCACGTTTGCTAGGCTTTTGGCAAAATCTATATAGTTTTTCTTTTCCTTGCCATGATTCTATAGGCTCAAAACATCTGGTCCTTAGCATATTTTCCTTTCTTCAATAAAGCAGGATTTCCAGGACAACCGGCTGCTGAGGTCACTTGTTAATATCCATGAACAAGAAACTTATTCCAGAGAAATAATAACGGAAGCTATAGAGAGCTGCATGAAGAAACAAGCAGACAACTTGGTGAATACACTGGATGTCATCAGTGGGAGGCTATCACAGTTGGAGCTGTATTGCTATAAGCTGGAAAGGTCAATTGGAGAATTACGAAGTGATGTGATGGATTACCATGGTGAAGCAAATATTAACTTCCGTTGCCTCGAAAAGCATGTGAAAGAGGTATGTTGTGCTTTACATTGACATTTTGATAAGCAGTAACTGAGAATTGAGTAGCAAAGTGGTGTGGACTGAATTTTTGTGCTCTAATAGCAGCACCTTAACTATGCTTAGCTAAACTATTGTCTATTCCATTTGGACTTACAAAAATGTTGGGCAAATTATTATTCTATACTAATGATGAATACATAAGCCAATGGGAATGTAAGAGGATGACTATAGCACAAACCTCTAGTTACATAACTTTTGTATTTTTCCTCCTAGGATTTCCAGCTCCTTTTAGGATATTTAGTTAATGGTGAAAAAGGTGTATTGTAAAGTGCATAATTTACATGTGGATTTGATTTTCTCTAAACTAAAGCATATTTGCTAATTCTTCCATTTATACACGGGTTTTTAAATGAGCACCAAAGTTGGGCAAATGGTTAGGTCCATGGAGATGGAGATCACACATGTTGGTTTGAAGATTTTTATATGAAATGAGGGGTGGGAGGATGGATGTAGTGTAAAGCACTAAAGCATCACCACCTTCTTCAATTGAAAATTCAATGTAACAATACATGCATATATATTTGACTACAGGGCACATGATATATTTCGCAATTCAGCACATTTTGCAAGTAAAACAGGCCATTCTAGAACAACACAAACACATCCACCTATGGTTAGTGCAAGAATTCATGATGTGATAAGTTTCAGAATGAGCTTAAGTTTAGGAACATGCTACCATCTGTCTAGATTCATAGTACTAGGATGTGTCACATCCCGTTCTAGGTTTGATTTTTGTGGGACGGAGGGAGTACTTGATTGCTTGGCTTGCTTGCTCTAGATAATTTTTCAAGTAGAACTTTGTTCTGTAGATATTGATGCATAGACAGCCAACCGGGATAAACTGCATAGCTAATATTTAACATGAATTTTCCCACTTCCTCTTGCAATTGTCTTCTTAAAAAAAAAACCAAACTACTTATCATAACTCATAACTAGCACTATCTTTCTTGCCAGGTTCAAAACTCTGTACAGGTGCTGCAGGATAAGCAAGAGCTTGCTGAAACCCAGAAGGAACTAACTAAACTTCAAATATTACATGAGGAATCTGCACAGAAAAGCGAAGGTACTGCTCCATCAGTTCTTATGACAAAGGAAATTGACGGCAGCATGCCAGTTGCAAAACATGAGCTTGCCCTTGTGCCTCTGCATCAAGTAAATGCTGCCCAATCTCCTGCTATGCAATTCCAAAGTTGCAATGGGCTTGTTCTGCAGCAACTGGTCCCAGTCTCATTGAGCACTCAACAAGACCAGCAGCACATGAACCAAGCCACCTTGTACTGTATGCAAACCCAAGCTCATGTTGAGCACAGGCAGGCCCAACCATTTCAACCTGCACCTCAACCTGTGCAGCGACATACCCAGAATACGCCACAGACTGTAGTTGAGGCACAACAGGTGACAAGTCAGGCCCCAGACTTCTACATTCAACCTCAGCAGCAATGGGCACATCAAACTGGCCAGCAAGTTCACCAGGCAAGGCAGCCACAGCCACAGGTTGTGCAACAGCAACATTACAACAATATTCAGCAAGTTCCAGCACAGATAGTTCAAATGCAAACTTCTTCTCCACAGGCTCAAAGTGCACCACATGTCACACTGTTGTACCCTCCTTATGGATCTCAACAACCTGCCTGTGCTAATAGTGAGCCACGCTCGCGAAGCATGGCTATGCAGCCTTCCTACTCTACAATTTCCTCGTCCCAAAGGAATCATCATGAAGTCGCTCCTGTTTATGTGCAAAGCAACACAATTTCAGTCCCACTGGCTGAGCATAGCATCCAGTCTCAGCAGCCACCGCAACTTCAATCGTTTGGTAATGGCTCATTTAAACCAAGCAAGGTCAGCCTACATGGTGTTGCCTCATATACAGTACAGGGGAATGCCCAGGCCTATAACACTGCTTATGGAAATCCGTCCAACAATGCTGCTACTGTTGTTGCTGTCCTTCCTCAACAAGCCCAGTCTAGTGCTCCCATGGTGCTTCATCATTTAGGACCACAGTCTCTGCAGAATCATCCAATAGACATGGTTGAAAAGGTTGCTCGTATGGGTTACTTTAAGGATCAAGCTGAGAGCATGGCACTTCGAATGGCTACTGCTGGACAGAATGTAGAGTTCAAACACCTCGCTTGACAAGCAGATCTCTGGTGGCGATGAGGTGGCGAGTAGGAGAATGAACAAGCCAGTTTGGAACCGCTGCATGTGGTTTGTTGGCTTGTTCCTGTGAAATATTATGATATCTTACTATCATGGGAAGCTTTTCAGCTTTGCTAAGGTATTTCGTCTGGCATCTTTTTAAACAGCCAGCAGATTGGTACATATCCTGCAGCTTATTTTTTTCAGCTGGAGGATTGTGATGAAATAATACTGCTAGTTTAGTTAAGATGATGATTGTTGGCATGTGTCCTACCTTTTAATGGACATATATGCTTGTAACCTTTTGTGGACTTGCATACGCATGTTTGCAATACGAAGATATGAGAAATTTGTTGTTTTCACCTTCTTGTCAAGTGTGCAACTATCTGCTCCTAAAGTCCTGCAATGTTGTGGCTCGAGTCTTGAGCAGTGTACATGTACTCTACCCTTTCCCCCTACGCACAAATCCTGGTGTGGCGCTGTCCTTTCCCCCCTCTAGTAAGCACAAATTATCTCTGCTTATCTTGACTTCACATATATTTTGCCAGGTAGAAAAGGTTTGTTTGAGTCTGTAGGAAAAAAGTAATGTTTTCCAAATATTGGAGTATGTGGCTTCAGACCGCCGACAATCTTATTTGGTCCACAAATTAGGCCAACATAGAAGCACAGGTTTGGCTTGTTTTTCCTCCAAACAAGAAAAGCATAGAGGAAGGCAAACTGGCAACTTGTTTTCTGCCGAACAGAATATTCATTAGAGTCGTGCCTAGCCAGCTGCCAACTGCAGAAAAGCATAGAAATCAAATCTTTTTTAGGACGGAGGGCGAGGTCATTATCAGAACAAGGGTTCAAATTTTCAACTAAAGCATCGGATTCAGATATCGGGCACAATTGCCCGGGAGGCCTAGGACTGAACCGGCCCAAGCAATTCACACACGGCACTACGGCAGCCAGAAAACCATCCAGATTCCCGTGTCACTTGAGCCGCTTGGCGTCACACGCGCCACCGCCAATGACGCACTGTCCACTGCACCAACGGAACCCTTCCCCCGGCGGAATCCTTCTACTAGTACCTCTGAAAATCTCTTCAGTGTTTGCCAGAAAATCTTCAGGTAGACGCACACTCGTGCCGTGCACAGCAGGTTAGAAACCAGATGCCCGCATCGATCCCTTCCATCAGATTGTCACAGCGCTCATGCCGTTTACATTTGTTGGTCAGCAGTACTCCCCCAGTCCTATAATATAATATTTTTTTACAGATTTGTAGTATTTAAATGCATCACATCCCACTAAAATCCTTTATATTTTAGGACGGAGGGAATATCGCGAACAATACTGCGACATAGGTGTCATTGTGTTATAGATGTCTCATCATTGGACTTCATCTTCCAAATCCAAATGGTTGTACACTGAATAGATTCCTATTGCCCCCACAAAAGTATGACAGACTGCATAGCATTCTGTATAAAGACAATTATTAAATATTTGTAGGTATTTCTGTATATATCGTAATAGAAAATATTGGTCAAATTTATTTTTTAAGAGACCGTGTCATTGTCCAACCTAGAGGGAGTGCAAACATCTGGTGGTGAGCAGTAACTTGGGGCAATTGCGTTTTTACCCTATTTTAAAGACTAACTACTAATTTGACCATGTTTTTTCAAGTTTACTCATTTGACCCTCTTTTTTTGAAACGAAGATGGAACTTGGCCCTATTCCGTGAAGGCAAGATGACGGTGTTAACTCAACACAAAAGTTCCATTTATACCCTTATGAATTTAACCCAGTTTATCAAAGTTTTTTATTACACTTATCAGTGTATATTGTCTCAAACACAAATACATGGTGCAAATTTATGTCTACCAGAAAAACAAAAAAAAAGAAAAAAAATGGCAAGCAGCAGGTCACTGCGCCACCGAGGAGCGGCAACAGGGGGCGGCGGGAGGAGCGGCGGCGGAGGGGCAACGTCGGCTCGGCGACGAGGAGGGCCGCCGCTGGCGGCAGATGAGCGGTGGGGGCGGCTGCGGCTTGGTGACGAGGAAGTTCACCGGCGGCGGTGGCTGCGGAGGGGCAGCGTCGGCTCGGCACGATGAAAACCACCGGCGGCGGCGACGGCGGAGGTAGTTGCCGAGGGGCGGCGGCGGCCACCACTCCTCCCTCCGCCCACCGGCTCCGCAGCTCCGTGCGCCGGCGCTCCCTTCCTCCGTGCGTCGCCGCTGCCGGCGCTCCCTACCTCCCCGCAGAACACCACATCCGCCGGATCCGTCGCCTAGTTGCCTCGACCGTCGCCCCTCCTCGTCGTCGAGCCGCCGCTCCTCCGCCTCGCCGAACCACCGCCGCCCGACCCTCCTCTTCATCGAGCCACCGCCATCCCTCCCATGCCGCCGCCGCCGCCGTCCTCCGCCTTGTCGAGCCGCCGCCGCCATCCCTCCCATTTCCGGCGAGAAAGAGGAGAGGGAGACAAGCTCCGGTGAGAGAGATGAGAGGGAGAGGATAAGAGAATATTGATGTGTACAAGGGTATTTTGGTCCATTGTGGCATAAAAAAACATTTTTTTTCTATTTTTTAAATGAAACCCTACGGTGTGATGAAACCAGGGCCAAACGGCAACTCCAATTTTGAAAAGTAGGATCAAATGAGCAAACCTAAAAAAGTAGGGTCAAATTAGTAGTTATAGTTCAGAATAGGGTCAAAGAAGCAATTGTCCCTAACTTAAAATGTCAACTGTCATGTAACTGAAGATACGTACCAGTTACAGTAACATAAAAAGCCCCATGGCCTTATCAACTCTGCTGCACCTTACTGGAGCAAACGACATCTTGGTGCCCCAGAAGCATGCCTATCTGCCATGGATATTACATTCAGCTTCTTTGGTAGGGCACTTACCTTTGCAACTATGCACCAGGCTCATCCTAGGGTTTACCCATGAATCTATTCATTTCTTAGGCTCATCCTGATTTATTAATCTCCTGATAGAGTAGTATATCAGCAGGTCTTGCACAAATGTTGCTCTTATGCTTGCTTTCATTACTGTTCCCTTTTTTCACTTGTGAGGGATGAGTCGATACTCTGCAAATGAAAGAGAGAGAGAGAGAGAGAGAAGCAGATGATTCTACTGTCAAATTTAACTACTGAATTCCTTGCAAAAAAAAAAAACTACTGAATTAAAGAGGTACTCAGAAAACCCATTCTTTCAGTGATACTCCTCCAAAGAGTAACATGCTGGGAGCCATACAAAAAGGTTTCTGCTAAATGGTACTAACCACTAAAACAACTTAGCTGCTATACATTTATTCAGTGCAACACTATTATCAACAGAAAACACTGGCTTATCTAGACGCCTAGTTTTTTTTTAGATAAAGGAGATTTCTTGGGAAATTCTCGTTAGATACTTGCACCATAAACATACTAGCAAAAGGTTAAATGACCAGCATGACACTTGGTACAACTATTCCAAGTATCTCGCAATGTGACTTGGCAGCTCGGCGTAGTTCCCTTCCATAGTCAGGAGCTGGTACAAAAGATCCTTGCGCAAGGCAGTAATACTACCCTGCCGATGGAGAATTGAGGAATCATTATTTTCAGGTTACACAAATTGGAGAAAAAAACATAAGGAAATGTATCAACGCCGTGTGCTCACCGAATCTAGACTTCTCTGCAGCTTGCCATCATGGAACTCACGCGAGTAGTATAATGTGTAAAAACCAGAGTTCCTACTGCAGCAGCAAAATGATTTAAATTTGTAATGGGATGAATCTCTCTCTTTTTTCTGTGGCATTGGCAGAAGCCACTCACCTTTGGCTCCTTGGGCTAATCCCTGTGTAGTACGAAAACATCCATTCGTTTGGGTTAATATCCCAGCCGCCATAGAATTTGTTTATACATGTTAACAGGCCTGCGTGGATCATTGTGGCTGTTCGATGGTGCTTACTGCTTAGCACTCACATTGTAAGTCTCCCGCTGCTGCAAGACAGGGTCCAAAATGTGCATTTGCCTCTTCTCCATGTCCCAAATGTAGCATGACCATGTACCGCCAGCTAGTTCAACTGGGGCAATGAGCTGTAGTTTCCACATAAAATGTTTCACTAGCCAATATATGTGATGATCCAAGGAGAATTGATAATAAAAACAAAAAGGCTTGTTTTGTCTTGAAAATCTGTACCAGTTGACAGTTCTGTATTTTGTAGCCATTAACACGTTGATCAAACATGTCACTGACTTCTTTCATGGAACTGAAGTTTGGCTCAATCATCAAAGCTTTATAAAACCAAAATCAAGGGGAAAAGACATCAAGCTTTGATCATTGTTTAACCACGATTTATGTTTTTACAAATGTTGGGGATGTTGGTGTACCGCAAATTGGGGTGGGAAGAAGTGGCGCCAACGCTGTCCAGATGGGTTTGTATTCATCTTGGCATCTAACTGTTGGTAGAGTCTGATAAATGCCGAACAAAGGTCCATACATAGATTGCCACCGTGGGTGACCTGCATTTTGAGCTTCATGGCACTTATCTCAATTGGTGTAGGCTTGTCGTGCTTGAACCAAACCCTTCATATAGGATAAACAATTAATAAGCAACACAAAGTTTATTTGTAATGAAAATTCACACATTTTTAAAGATTGTTTTTCACAGACCCGGTTATATCTTCATCACGTGACTTCAACTCCAGCCAACGGTACAACCTCCGAGCTAATTTAGCATTTGGCCATTCGTGAAGTATGGGCATTGAAAACGGTGACATGCAAGCTGGCCTTGGACATGCCACCTCTTTCGTCATCTGTGTCTCGCAATGTTCTGGTTGTCGTTGGCACGTGACAACCGCGAGGTTGTCATCGTTGCTTTGATCCAATGTGGCACTGGCTCCTGCAACATAAAACACGACAGATGCATTTCATTCTCTAAAGTATGCGTGGGGTGGGTTGAAGGATATGAGGCATGTATGCGTACTCATGGTGGCTTCTCCCACAGCTGCTGCTGATACCAACCATTCAAGGCCACATTTGTCTTGCATTTGGAATCCTGCATTGTGGGGAAAAAAATAGTCCCATTACTGCACAAGTATTCAAGTATTCAGTGTTTTTACTCTTTTTTTGGCAAGCTAACCTTGATCCAGCTCATGGTGGACTGCTGCCGTCACTTGGGCTGATGAGTTCAATGGACGGTGATGCGCAGTAGGGGCCATGCCCAATATCGGATTTGCATGGTCAACAGCTTGATAGCTTTGTTGGTCTATATGCTCGCTTGCTTCATTTTCCGAGTTGCTTGGCCCTAACAAGTCACCTGTGAATGTGATTCAAATGTTTGTGTCATGAGTATATATGCAGTGGAAAAATGCAAGAGATTTGATTTTCTTTTACAGTTTACAAATTGGGCTTCGCTTATTTGACATCTTGGCTTATTGCCATAGACTCAGTCGGTCCCATAAGTCATTATCACAAGTGTTAGTACCATCAAAGTGGTAGCGAATAGTGTGAAATCATCAAATTTTACGGAAAAGTGCAGCACCATGTGAAACGAAATACCTCTCAAATCAACGGGGGCTTGGGATCTATTGGCTGCAGAAGCCACGCGTGACAACTTGCTTCGTTTACGAGTAGTCTTGGCACCTTCTTCGACATGCGGGTGGACAGGAATTGTAAGTGTTTTTCACTTTGAAAATATATTATAACCTTTACTAATGGAACCAAATGGTCACTGATAGGCCCAACGAAAAATGGTACTGCTAGTAAACATACTGTTAATGTGTGAGCTTACCGTGTAGTCATGCAGCTTTTCGCTTTGCTGCTGCCTGCACATCGGCAGCATCCGCATCTTCGATTCCACGATGTAATCGAGCATTCACTTGAGCGTGCTCTGCCTGGATGGCTTCCATTACATCTGAAATAACGAGGGTGAATTCCTCACTGTGTTTCGAGGCCAATGCCTGCATGACTTCTTGCGTTTCCTGAGTTAAAATTTTGATTTCTCTCATAGCCTCATCCAACAGCTGCGCGCATCGTTCGGCAAGATGACGTCCCAAATCCTGCAAGGGCAGCTGCTATGCAAAAAAAAAAAAAAAAAAAAAAAAAAAGGTCGTGACAGGATTACTTCTAGAATCGATTTAGTAAGCTTTTGCTTGGGATGAAGAGATTAGCGGCGAACCTTGGCAGGCAGGTCGTTCAGGCCATGGCTATCGCTATTGCTCGGGTCAGTGTTATCGTCCTGAGTATCACTTCGAGCTATACATTTGCCCTTCATTGATGCAAAAAAAGAAGAAAAAAAGAGAAGAAGAACAGAGTAAATAACATTTTTACGCTTCAAAAATCAAAACACTCTTGGCTTTGATCAGCATCTCGATGTAATCCCTAATATAATACTCCCTTGTTCCAAAAGTCTAAGACCTACTCCCTCCATTCTAAAATATAAGGCACAACCACTCTTAACCCAAAGACCAAGAAATAATTATTATCATCTCATAGATTGGGTTACCTTAATAAATAGAAAGCATGCACCCAATAAAATTAGAGATCTTATGGTGTAGGATTTAAATAATAATATTTTAGTAAAAAAGAGGTGCTAGCTAATGACATGCATGCCTTAGAGCAAGTTTAATAGTATAGCCCACTACTGGCTCCAATCCATATATAGCCAATCTAAAAGCCAATTCATACAATAGTTGCTTACTATACTATTAATATATGGTCCCATATGGCATACACACATTGCGTCTTAGAGTCCGTGCTGCAGCTGGCTACAGATCTGTAGCCCGCTGCTCTTCTCTCTCATGTTTTATCTCATTAAAATATATTTGCAGCTGGCTAATAGTCTGCTATTGTACCTGCTCTTATATTATGAAACAACTTTAAGAAGTAGTTGTGCCTTATATTATGGAATGGAGGGAGTATTTCTTTTTACACTAAGACCAATGTGTAGTTAACTCATGTGATAGAACCAATAAACATGCAACCAATAAATACTAAAATAATTTCTTGAATTCCGATAAAAAAATCAATATAGCACATAGTGACTATAAATAGGAGTTGGACTTTTAGGAAAACTATAGAATGAAATATAGGACTTAGACTTTTATTTTTAGAGCAGATACAATAGCAGGCTATTAGTTAGCTGTAAACATATTTTAATGAGATGAAAGATGAGAGAGAAGAGCAGCGGGCTACAAATCTGTAGCCAACTGTAGCGCGGAATCTAAGACGCAATATGTGTATGACATGTAAGACCATATATTAATAGTATAGTAAGCAACTATTGTATGAATTAGCTATTAGATTGGCTATAGATGAATTGAAGCTAGTAGTGGGCTATACTATTAAACTTGCTCTTAGAAGGAGGGCTTTTTTTTTTGTGAATGATGCATGCCGTAATGAACCATATTTTGCTTGAAAGCAACACATATAGTTCATCTAGGCGGAAATAAAAGAAACTCAGTAGGAGTACAAAAAATGCAGGAAGCGGCGGAGCGATGAGAAAAGGGATATTGCCACCTTCCTAAGGCTCGTCGACGCCGGCGGGCCGCGTTGGCCGCGAGCAGAAAAGGTTGGGTGGTGAGGAAGCGGCGGGGAAGACGGTGGCGATGGCGATCCCGACGGTCCGACCCTCCATCGGTGGGAGTGGGAGGATGGGAAGGGGAACCAGTACTGGAGCTGGAGTAGTACTCCATATTGTAGTCCAAAGAACAAGTGAAGAAGACTGAGAGAAGGTAGTACTACAGTACTACTCCACTACTCCAGTTACTTTATTTATGGTGGAGTGGTACAGGCCGACGCTCGTGTGATACGATGAAAAAGTTAAAAGTTTTTTTTAAAAAAAGTTAGGAACTAAACTAACCATAGTTAGATACTCATATATCATAAACACGTTTGGATTTACGTGTCATGGTGATAATACTTAAATGCTAAATCTAAATATAACAAAAAGTTAAATGCCCCAGCGGGAGATATCGGTGGATACTAGTACTAAGGGCAACAATAATGTATATAGCAAAAGTAGTACATATAGATATGACCCACATATATAAACTTTAACTACTGTAATATTCACAATGTATATGGATAGCAAATAGTATTAGGAGGAAAGAAGAGGTAGAGACAAATAATATCTTTTATTCTCTATGGCCAACCCATATGCTTATAGGTAGCTTTTGTTATTTCTTTGCTGCTATGAATTAGTTCCACAATGTTGCTAGGTAGCTGAATCACATATTGTATTGCTTATGGACCACTTTTAGACTATATTGTAGATGCCCTAAAGTACTACTAGTAGTCTAGTACTACTACTGCAACAGTAGAGGTCGCACAATATAATGGTCAAAATTAGATTCTCTAAATACCCATATAACCAGCTCTCCAATTGATTTGGATAACCAAACTCGTTACTCACTTCAACGCATCTCCATCTATATGCTCTATTTCAAGTCTATCACAATGTACTATTACCCATCTTCTTCTTCCTCATTTTCTCCCTCCTCTTCCTCTTTTCTCCCCCTGATGGCGACAGCAGCGGATGGCGACTGCGAGCAAGGCGGTGGCGATGACTGCAACGACTGGCAGGCCAAATGATGCCGGCGGCGCCTGCGTGGATGGTGGGAAAGACGACACCGGCGCTGCGCAGCTGCTGCCAGCGACAGTTGCGCGGATGGCAGACTCGATGACGACAGCGGCGGACGAGGCAAGCATGGCGGTGGTGGATGGCGGCCTAGACCTCGGCGACGAAGGCAGCCGCGGCGGCAGAGGTCGCGTGGCACCCCGAATCAACGTAGTTAGCCGAATCCGGCGAGAGCGGAGGCCTCCAGACGACGATGCCGGAGGACGAGGCCGTCAACGGAGACGATGGGGCAAGGCGGCCAGCCTTGAAGAGGGGTTCAGCCCCTTCTTCCCCATCCTCGCTCCTCCCTCGTCGTCACCATTGCACCCTCTGCCGTTATAGCCATCCTCGGCGGAGAGTGGGAGGCCGCAGCGATGCTCGCCGGTGTGACGCCCTGCTGCCTGGCCTTTTTCTCTCGTTCCTCGCAACCTCGGCATGGCCACGGGCGGATCTCACGGCGGCGTAAATCGGTGTTGGAGGTCGCGGTGGCGGAAATCAGCGCTGGAGGCGGCCGACGGCGAGCGAGAAGCTGAGGCGATGCTCCCGGCGGCAGTGCTGGAGGTCGCGGTGAGCGAAAATCGGTGTTGCCCTGCCGCCGCGCCCTCTTCCCTCGCTCCTCGCAATCAGGCATTGAGCGATGGGATTAGTTCAAAGACACAGGACCCACGATTGGTAAGTTAGTTTGGATGGCCAAGTTTGGCCAGCGAAAGAAGGAATTTGGCAACTCATTTGATTTAGCCATCCAAGTATAGAGGCTGATGGAGTGATACTTTTTACTAAAGTTACCAAATTTTGGTTTGGAGAGGTTATTATAGAGGCCGCTGGAGGCCTGGAGATGCTCTAACCTCTGCTGCTGCGGGTGCATTGCAGCTTCTGGCCCTGCCGACCACCCGTGTCCGTGTGTATTTCTTCTACTAGCTTCAGATCATGCGGTCCCCGCATCCTTCGCAAGCCAGGGCCTGGATGAGATCACAAGAGTGCATGTTAGGATCCCCGCACCACTTGAGCCGCTTGACGCACTGCCACTGCACCAACGGAACCCTCTTCCCCCGGCGGAATCCTTCAGCGGTCGCCCACTCGCCCCACCTTCTACTTTCGAAAATCTCATCAGGATTTGCCAGAACCCGTGCCGTGAACAGCAGGAGGTTAGAAACCTGATGCCGCATCGACCCTTGTCACCGCGCTCATGCCGATTTTACACGGCACAAGTGATGGAACATTCATATTTGTTGGTGACTTGTATCACCATAAACACCGCAAACACTGCGACACAAAGATCAAAAAAACAAAAAAAGGAACACTGAGGTGGTGTTTGAATTCAGGGACTTAATTTTAGTCTCTGTATTTAAACACTAATTTAGAGTATTAAATATAGACTACTTGTAAAATTAATTACATAAATGAAAGCTAATTTGCGAGATAAATTTTTTAAGCCTAATTAATCCATAATTAGAAAATGTTTACTGTAACATCACATAGGTTAATCATAGATTAATTAGACTCAATAGATTCGTCTTGCGAATTAGTCCAAGATTATGATTGGGTTTTATTAATAGTCTACGTTTAATATTTATAATTAGTGTCCAAACATCCGATGTGATAGGGACTTAAAGGTCTAGTTCCATCTAAACAGGGTCTCATCGACACTTTGTCTATTGATCCCACAAAAGTAGACAGACAGCAAAGCATTCTGCTGTTGGATAACACAATTATCATAGTACAACAAACCAACACTACAAACACAGCAGCGATCTACACATGTCCTCTCTCTCATCTCAAAATACAGAAACTAGTACAGGATTTGACATTACCTAAGTACTCCAGTACAATAACTTAAAATGCCCCATGCCCATATCAACTCTGAACCTTGGAGCAAACTTCTGCCGATATTACCTTCAGCTTCTTTTGTAGAGTACTTACCTATGCAAATACGCACCAGGATTTACCCCTGAATCTATTTATTTCTGAAGGCTCATTTTGATTAATTAATCTCCAAATAGACTACTAGTGAGTAGTAGGTCTGCACAAATGTTGCTCTGATGCCTGCTTACTTCCGTTCCTGTCCCCTTTCTTCACTTGTGAGGGACGAGTCAATGCTGCAAATGAAAAGAAGAAAAAAAGAGAAGCATATGGTTATACTGTCAAATTTAACTACTGAATTAAAGAGTTACTCAGAAAACTCATTCATTCAGTGATGCACTTCCCAAAGAGTCCTAACATGCCGGAAGCCATACAAAAGGCTTTTGCTACATGCTACTAGTAAACAACTTGCTGCTATACCTTTATTCAGTGCAAGCTATTATCAATAGAAAACACTGGCTTATCTAGACGCCTAGAATATTTTTTTAGATAAAGGAGATTTCTTGGGAATTATCCTGGTCACAAGACAACTTCCTAAGTTCTCGTCAGATACTTGCAGCATAAACATACTAGCAAAAGGCTAAACGACCAGCATGACACTTGGTACAACTACTCCAAGTATCTCGCAATGTGACTTGGCAGCTCAGCGCTGTTCCCTTCCATAGTCAGGAGCTTGTAGAAAAGATCCCTGCGCAAGGCAGCAACCCTACCCTGCGACAGACAAATGATGGGGAATCACGGTTATTATTCAGGTTAATCGAATTGGTGGAAAGAAAAAGAGGAAATGTATCAATGCAATGTGCTCACCGAATCTAGAACATTGCTCAGCTTGCCATCATAGAACTCGCGCGCATAGTATAATGTGTGAAAAACAGAGTTCCATCTGCAGCAGGAAGATGACTCAAATTTGTTATGGGATGAAATTTCATTTTCTTTTCTTTCTTGTGTATGTGTGGCATTGGCAGAAGCTACCCACTTTTGGCACCTCGGGCTAATCTTTGTGTGGTACGTACATGTCCATCCATCCGGGTTAATATCCCAGTCATCGAAGAATTTGTTTATACATGTTAGCAAGCCTGTGTGGATCATCGTAACTGTCTGACGGTGCTTAGCACTCACATCGGAGACCTCCCGGTGTTGCAAGACAGGGTCCAAAATGTGCATTTGCCTCTTCTCCCATGTCCCAAATGTAGCATGCCCATGTATCACTAGCTAATTGAACCGGGGAAATGAGCTGTATTTTCGAAATAAAATGGTTCACTAGTCAGTATATGTGATGATCAAAGGAGATTGGATAAAGAAACACAATATATAATCCGTACCAGTTGGCAGTTCTGTATTTTGTAGCCGCTAATATGTTGATCAAACATGTCACTGACTGCTTTCATGGAACTGAAGTTTCGTTCAAACATCAAAGCTTTCTAAAACCAAAATCAAGGGGAAAAGACACCAAGCTTTGGTCATTGTTTTAACCATGATTTCTTATATACATGTACATGTATACATATGTATATACATGTACATGTACATATGTATATACGTATATATATATATATATATACGTATATATATATATATATATATATATAGGACATTCATATGGGGCACCATGGTGCCCGGGCACCATGGTATCTAATGCACAAAATTACTCAAATTTTTCAAAATTTTCAAATTGTGAGTATATACCTAGTTATAATAATTTGATTCATACCTATACTTATCAACAAAAAAAACTCAAATTTAACTTTATTTCACAATCCATGATTACATACCTAACTAATTATATGTATGGATGCTATATACCTAGAATCAAAATCTAACAAAAACAAGTTCAAATTCAGTTCAAACTTGCTTTAAACTAGTTAGTAAAGTAGTTAATGTTAATACCTAAGTAATTGAAAAAGTTTCATACTCATTTGAATTGGGTATATACTCAATTTCAATAATGGTGCCCGGGCACCATGGAGCACCAAACAAATTTACTATATATATATATATATATATATATATATATATATATATATATGTGTGTGTGTGTGTGTGTGTGTGTGTGTGTGTGTGTGTGTGTGTGTACCGCGAATTGGGGTAGGAAGAAGTGACGCCACCGCTGCCCACATGGGTTTGTATTCATCTTGGCATCTAACTGTTGGTAGAGTCTGATCAATGCTGAACAAAGGTCCGCATGTAGAATACCACCGCGGATGACCTGCATTTTGATTTCCTTGGCACTTATCTCAATTGATGTAGGCTTGTCGTGCTTGAACCAAACCCTTCATATAGGATAAACAATTAAAAATCAGTACAAAGTTTTTGTGTAATGAGAATTCACGCATTTTTAAAGAACTCCTTTTGCACACACCCGGTTATATCGTCATCACATGACTCCTCAAGCCAACGGAATAATCTCCCAGCTAATATAGAGTTTGGCCACCATTCATGAACTGTGCGCATTGAAAACGATGACATGCAAGATGGCCTTAGATGATTCCCCGCCTCTTTCGTCATCTGCGTCTCGCAACGTTCTGATTGCCCTTGGTACTTATCCTGTGCACCATTGTTGTTTTGATCCAATGTGGCGCCGTCTCCTGCAACAGCAGCAACACAAACACGATAGATGCATTTCATTCTTTAAAATCTCTCATTTAATTTGTTGTGTGTTGGGTGGGTTCAAGGATATATACGAGGTGTATACGTACTCATGTTAGCTTCTCCCACAGCAGCTGCTGATACCAACCAATCGAGGAAACATTTGTCTTGCGTTTGGAAAACTGTGTTTTGGACTTGTGGGGGAAAAACAATAGTCACATTACTGCACATTACTCAGAAGTGTTTTTACCTTTTTTTTTTCTTGGCAAGCTAACCTTGATCCAACCCACGATGGTTTGTATGAACTGCTGACGTCGCTTGGGCTGGTGATTTTAATAGATGGTGATGTGCGATACGGGCCGTGCGTGACACCGACAACGGATTTGCACGGTCAGCAGCTGGATTTTGCTGCCCTCTTGCTGCATTTGCCAATTTGTTTGGCCCTAACAAGTCACCTTTGCCTGTGATGGATTGAAATGTTTGTGTCATGAGTACACATATATACTCGATCGAAAAATGCAACATCATGTCAAACGCAATACCTCTCAAATCAATGGGGGTTTGGGATCTATTTGCTGCAGAAGCCTCATGTGACAACTTGCTTCGTTTACGAGTAGTCTTGGCACCTTCTTTGACATGCATACGGTGCACAGAAACTAATTGTAAGTGTTTTTCTTTTCACTTTGAAAATGTAGAAACCTTTACTAGTATGAGCTTACCACCATGTGATGCAGTTCTTCGCATCGTTGCTGCTAGCATATCGTCAGTATCCACACCTTCGATTGCGCCATGTAATCGAGCGTTGGATCGATCGGGATTTGCTTGGACAGCTTGATCCATTACAGCCGAGTAACATTTCTCACCGTGTTCCGCTGCCAAAGCCTGCATGCCTTCCGTTAAAGATGAAAAAACGAGGCCGCATTTCTCGTTGTGCTTCGCTAACAATGCCAGAATGCCTTCCTGCGTTGCCTGAAATGAATCTTTGATCTCTGCCATGGCCTCATCCAACATCTGCGTGCATCGTTCGCCAAAATGACGCGATAGATCGGACAGCTGCAACGAGAATAGAAAAAAAACACAAATATTAAGGAAAAATCTAATATCAAATAAATAGAAGAGGTGAGGCTTTAAACCCAGGCTAGCTAGCTAGCCCACCACCTTGGAGGTAGCGAGAAGACCCTGGGCGTTTCTCAACAAAAGGACGGGATTAATTAGTTTCAGAATCGATTTAATTAGCAAGGTGTAATATGCAACTAGTTTTGTTGGGATGAAGGGATTAGCGGCTAACCTTGGCAGGCAGGTCGTTGCCATGGCTATCGCTATTGCTCGGGTCAGTGTCGTCGTCGTCCGAAACGTCTATGGGCTCCTCGTAAGCATCACACCGAGCTTTACCTTTGCCCTTCATTGATGAAGAAACAACTGACTCAACAACATTTTTTCGCTTCAAAATGGAGTACTACGCAGTAATACGCTTAGCTTTGATCTCTACCGTCTTAGTAAAGCACAATCGTATTTTTTCCCTTCCCACTGAAAAACCGCTGAAAAAAATCCATTGTATATAAAAAAAAGAGACCAAACCTAAAGAGATTCTGAAAAAGAGAGAAAAGAAAGAATCACGTTCAGCAGATCCCGTCCCGTTGCAATGCTTGAGCCCGAGGCAGCCTGTGACTACTCCCTCCGTCCCTCCCAAACTAATAAGCGTGTGTTTGGTTTGGGGACAAAGTGGGATGGGTTAGACCTATCCCAGTTTTTTAGGATGGGATAGTTCCAGTTGTCTGTTTGGTTTGTGGTATGGGATGGTTATAGTTTTTTGTTTGGTAGAAGGGATTGAGGTGGGATGGGATGGAGAACTTTCACGGACCGTTAGGGCCGTCTGGCTCCCAGCGGCTACCTCGCAGACGAGCGGCGGCGGTCGTTCACAGAGGCGGAGGAGGTTGCAGACGAGGCGGCGGCTGGACGCGGAGGCGCGCGCGGCGGCAGTCGCGGACGAGGCGGCGGCTGCGCACGGAGGCGGAGGCGGTCGCGGAGGCGAGGCGAGGCCCGGACGAGCGGCGGCAGTCGGTCGCGGAGGCGGAGGCGGAGGCGGTTGAGGACGAGGCGGCGGCCGGACGCGGAGGTGGCGGCGGTCGCGGACGAGGCGGCAGCCGCTCACGGAGGCGGAGGCGAGGAGAGGCGCGGATGAGCGGCGGCAGTCGGCCGCGGAGGCGGAGGCGGTTGCGGACGAGGCGGCGTCGGACGTGGAGGCGGCGGCGGCCGCGCACGGAGGCGGAGGCCAGGAGAGGCGCGGACGAGCGGCGGCAGTCGGTCGCGGAGGCGGAGGCGGTCGCGGACGAGGCGGCGGCCGGACGCGGAGGCGGCGGCGGTCGCGGATGAGGCGGAGGCCGCGCACGGAGGCAGATGCGAGGAGAGGCGCAGACGAGCGGCGGCAGTCGGTCGTGGAGGCGGAGGCGGTTGCAGACGAGGCGGCGGCCGGTCGCGGAGACGGAGGCGGTCGCGGACGAAGCGGCGGCTGGTCCTGGAGGCGGCGGCGGTCGTGGGGGCAAGGCGGCGGCGGGCGCGGATGAGGCGGCGTCGGTCGCAGACGAGTGGCGGCAGTCGCGGATGAGCTGACGCCGTGCGCTCGTCCCAGGTGGGACGAGTTCGTCCGGCTCTTTTTCCCGGATCGATTGGTCCCGGATGAGGAATATTACTCTCCAGGGACCAATCCATCCTACCCACCCCTCAACCAAACACCTCTAAAAGGTTCGTCCCATCCCATCCCAGCAACCAAACACTACCTAAGTTCATTTTTAACCAATCTCACACATACCAATACAAAACCAACCAACAACTAGAATACATATACTTTATTAAATCTTAATGCAACGATAACTCTAAAAATAAACTTATTTTAAGATAAATATAAAAGCTAAAAACAAATTTATTATGAAACGGAGGAAATAATTCCTACTACTAGTAACAGTGAAACACCATCATCTCGCTGCAATAAACCCACCATTTTGGCCCCAACCCCTTCTAGTGAACGATGCCGTAATGGCGTAATGGGCCATATTTTGCTTACAGATACTCTTTTCGTCCCATAATATAAAGGATTTTTAAGGGACATGACACATACTAGTACTACAACTCTAGACTGATTTGTCACATTACTCGAAAATCCCTTATACTATATGATTGAGGAAATATTTCGTCTAGGCTGAAGAAAAAAAAAAGAACAGTAGAAAAAAAAATGCACGAAGCGGGCGGAGCGATGAGAGGGGGGATTGTCACCTACCTTGGCTGGCATCCTGCACCTCGTCGGCGCCGGCGGGCCGCGTTTGCCGCTACTTGGGAACGTTGGACGGCGAGGAAACGGCGGGGAAGACGACGGCGATCCTTCCTCATCAGTGGGAGTGGGACTGGAAGGATGGAAGGGGGAACCAGCACTGGACCTGGAGAAGATCATGGCCATGGGTGCTACTACTAGTCCAAGAGGGAAGTGAGCTCTGCTGCTGCTGCTGCTACTTCTACTACTCCAGTCAACTGAGACACAGCACCAGTCAGCATGGTGCTTGTGTGAGAAGGAACGGCAGCCGAAACTGTTGAGAGCATCGCGAAGAGCATTTGCTACTTCTCCCAGCAGTAGAACTGCATTTGATAGAACCGAAGAACTGCTACTCCAACAGTACGGTTGAGCTGACAGCATTTTCTATCAACCGGAGAACTGTTACTCCAACAGTAGAGGTTGCACAGTCGCAGCCTGTGGGCCACCACGGCATTGGTTCCTTTACTGCTGTAGCTGCCACCTGCCGCGCGGCCGCCGGAAACACCCGTTCTGCCTTCCGCCGCCTCTGTCCTGCCGACCACCAAAAACCACACAGCACACCGCATAGTGATAGATTAGTGTATGGAGTAATTAATTAAGGCTGTGTTTAGACTGTGGAAAAGTTGGAAGTTGAAAAAAAGTTGGTAGTTTATGTGTGTAGGAAAGTTTTCGATGTGATATGTGATGGAAAGTTGAGAATTTAGGGGAACTAAACACGGCCTAAGAATTAGCAAAAATTTAAAAATAAGTTAATATGATTTTTTTAAACATTTTTATAGAAAACTTTCAAAAACCACTATTAGTAGTTTGGAAAACATATGTGTAAAAAACGAGAGAGTGAAATTGGAAAGGCGTAGTAAATAACACACCGGGGGTTTAGAATTTCAGATCATGCGATCTTCGCAAGCTGGATGAGATCAAATGACAAAAGCTGACAAATTAGGCTGCTTTCATTTCTCCTATAAGAGTTGGATGAAATTTTGGATACTCGTGGCACGTTTTTCAAATTGCTAAACGGTACGTTTCGTGCGAAAACTTTTTATATAAAAGTTGCTCTAAAATATCAGATCAATCCATTTTTTAAGTTTGTTATAATTAAAACTCAATTAACCGCACGTTATTACCACCTCGTTTTGCGTGAAACACTTAATTTTTATCTTCATTTTTATCTCCAGGAGATACAAACACCACCTTAATCTTCATTGTCCCAACTTAGGGTGTATTTTAGAGTAGAACGAACTAGAAGATAGAAAAGATATACAAAATGAGAAAAATCATTAGCGCACGATTAATTAAGTATTAATTATTTAAAACTTTTAAAAAATAAATTAGTATGTTTCTAAAGTATTTTTTTCTTGCAAAAACTAGGATTGCTAGCCCACACACTCCCAAGAAAATAAACTAGCACCAAGCCCAGTCGACAATTGCTAGCCCTACAAAGGGGTCAAATACGCTATGCCCATCACCAGCTCCAAGTAGCCAAACCCTGATGGACATCCAGCCATTGCCACAGAGAAAGGTTGTGAGGGGAGAGCGTGAGAGAAGATTCACTCGTCCCCCACAAAGACTCAATGGCGACATCTAAGTGCGTCGTGCGCAGAATAAACCATTTGAAGGCTGAGATGGTAAGAGACAAGGCTTCTTAGACAATGCCTCCAAGGAAGTCACGGTGCTAGAAACACTACCACAACTGCCTTGCCTACCTATCCACTGATTACACTTGGCTTTCAAGTAAAGAATCTCACTAGGAAGGAGAGGGAGGTATCTCGACAACACCCTCAGGAGAGATCACAACGCCCAAAGCGTCACCATTGTCGACCAAGATCACCAAGCTATGCTTTCACTTGTAGGCCCTCCCCTAACATTGCAGCTCTGTCACCCTACCACCAAGCAACTACTACTACCAGTATGCGATCTTCGCCAAGCTGGCGCCCCTCCACTGACCAGCTCTCCATTCGAAGCAGACCTCAAGGGACCTTATGCCGCTTCCTCCGCCACGTTAATAGCCCTTTGTCAACTACCATCACTTCTTTCGTGCATCAGATCAAAGTGCACCCATCATGTCCGCCTCCAAGCGTCGTTCCTCGTTGTAAGCCTCCCACACGAAGCGAGGGCGGCAAGATCCAGCCACCTCTGTTGCCCAAACACCACTCCGTCCTTTTTCCAAAGCTTCCCATGATCTGATCTGATAAGTAGATCAGCCGTAGTATGGGAGAAGCACTGAGGATGAAAAGAGAGCATTCCCAACGAGTCAACGCCAATATCGCTCACGGGGAGGCATGGTCGCATGGGGAAGAGGGAAAAAGGTTAAGACACAAAGAGGCATGATTGCGACAAACTGACAATGCATCAACTTTTGGTTGGAGGGATATCTCTCCATGGGAGATGGCAATTTAACTTTTGAGTGTGTTTAATTGGTGGGCTGGATGAGTCGTCGAGAGAGGAAATATTCCACAAAGATATATGAAGATATCTGCCCTTGCTAATTTTGACTATTAGTAATTGATTAGCGATAATATATTTTGTTGTTAATTACTTCCTCCATTTCACAATATAAGTCATTCTAGCATTTTCCACATTTATATTGATATTAATGAATCAATATAGTATCTAGATTCATTAATATCAATATAAATGTGGGAAATGCTAAAATAACTTACATTGTGAAACGGAGGGAGTAGTAATTAACGTGTCACTAATTAGATGTAAGTAGTCCAATTTTTTAATCAATTAGTATAGTTTCGGGTAGAATTAATGATACCTAATCTTTGTCTTCATTACCATTACCTAATAGTTTGTTGTTTATATTTAATCCATTCTAGTCAATCTAAACAAATAAGAAATTGAATAGGCAAAAATTAAACTACCATATCCCTTAAAATATAAATGGTCAATATCTTATTCAATCTTGACAACCAACCAAATACATCTTTATTAGCCACAATTCACACACGGCCCAAGCAATCCACACACGGCCCAACCCAGAAACCTTCCAGATTCCTGCACCTCTCGACACTTTTGGCGTCACCCTCGCCTATGCCAAATGCCAATGACGCACTGGCGCTGCACGAACTGAACCCACCTGCTACCTCTGAAATCTCTTCAGGATAGCCAGGAAATCTTCAGGATAACCACACTCGTTTCCGTGCACAACAGGCTAGAACCCAGATGCTGCATCCCTCGCTCCTTTTCAGGTTAGGGCTGTGTTTAGATTCAAAGTTTGGATCCAAACTTCAGTCCTTTTCCATCACATCAACCTGTCATAAACACATAACTTTTCAATCACATCATCACCAATTTCAACCAAAATTCAAACTTTGCGCTGAACTAAACACAGCCTAAAAACACAAATACCGACAGAATTATAGCCGTATTAAATAGACTAAAAAATAATTAATTGCACAGATTGCGACTAATTTACTAGACGAATCTTTTAAATCCAATTGCTCCATGATTTAATAATATGGTGCTACAATAAACATTTGCTAATAATAAATAATTTAGGCCTAATAAATTCATGTCGCTATTTACCGACGAATTCGAATTCTATAATTAGTTTTTTTATTAGTGTCCGAACACCTCATGCAATACTCTATATAATACTCGATATGCACGCCAAAACTTTACACCCTCGTCTAAACACCCCCCATCCCCCATGTATCGATCCATTCCATAAGACTGTTACAGCGTCATGCAGTGGCACGGTACAAGTGATACCATCACGTACAACACGTTACAGATGCTTCATCTTACAGCATAATCTTCCAAAACCAACCAGTTGTAAACTTGGTTTATTATACTCTCACAGAAGTAGACAAACTGCATACCATTCTGCTGTCCCGTAACATAATTATTACGTTGGTACAAGAAACCAATGCTTCTAAACATAGAAGCGCTACAAACACAACCGCGATCTGCTACGTGTATCGTATGCTGATCGCGGATTGTTATGGAACTGGAGATACAGATTACAGACCGGCTACAATAACACTTAAGATGCCCCCGTGCCCACATCAACTCTGCACCTTACGGGAGGAAACGACGCCTGGTGCCGCAGAAGCGTGCCTATCTGCCATGGATATTACCTTCAGCAATTTGACCGGGCACTTATCTATGCAAATATGCACCAGGATTTACCCATGCATCTATCGACTACTTAGGCTCATCTTGATTTATTAATCTCCAAATAAAGTAGTGAGCAGCAGGTCTTGCACAAATGTTGCTCTGACACTCGCTTGCTTCCGTTTCTGTTCCCTTTCTTCCCTTGTGAGGGATGAGTCAATACTGCAAATGAAAAAAAAAAATTAGCAGATCATTCAACTGCCAAAATTTGAAATTTATAATGTATACCTCCCAAATAGTCCTAACATGCAGGAAGCCATACAGCAGCTTGTTGCTACACGCTACTCATCAGTCAAACAACTTGCTACTGTACATTTATTCAGTACTTCGTACAATGCTATTATCAACGGAATATACTGGCTTATCTTATTGGACTCGAATTATTGTGATCAAACATGAGCTCATGTTCTCTGAACGTATTGTACTTAAAATTGCATTGAAACTAAACATTGACATAGGGCACGAGTACAACAATAGCTTTTATGAAATTTTGTGATGAGTCAGATAGCGATGCTAGTTCTGAATTTGCAAGACAACCAAGTCTCAGGTGTTATTCAGGAGGATAACAAGGAACAAGGTAATCACTACAACCTTCGAGTATACCACGTGTTTCTATCTAGCACGAACAAGAGCAAATACCTTGAATCCCATGGCTGAGCAGGTGTCTCTTTTATCACAGATGCATCATCTGGAATGGAAATAGGTGGTTTTGATGTTTCCTCTGTGTCTGATGTTGGAAAGCTAAGGCCAAACGATGACAGAAGAGGGTCAGCTGAAATATTTGTTGTGTTGCTGCTGTTGTTTGACCTATGTCCCCCACCTCCCAGAAGCACCTGCAAATGGGCTTCACGTAGATCTCGACTCAGCAAAGATAGGGCTTGACTGCCTGGAATAACGAATCTGCGCAACCTGCGACGATTCTGCAGGTTGTATAAAATTAGCAAACCTCAAGCGTGAACCTCTCAAAACTCAAAAATATATATCTTTTATGCATCAGCTGTCATCCACAGCATGTATTACATGGGGCTGATTGGTTGAGTAGGCACTAGATAAATATACAGGAAAGCGGAAGTACCTTGAACAAGTACCCATGTTGCACAGTGATATGATTAAGCATATCTTTTGCAATCTTATCAGAACATATAGGGCAAGGCTGAAATGAAGGAAAGAAACAATCAAAACAAGACAATAAACTGTTATCTAGAATATTACAAGGAAAGAAAATATATTTCCAGCCATGTATAGAGCTTGCAGTAGAACAGATAAACACAAGATTATGCAGTTGAGGAATAAGAAAAGAGGCATCTGTGTGAGTCCAACACAGAACAATTTGATTTTTTTTTCACAAAATACAAAAGCTAATCTGTTTTTACACCTTACGCAAAGCAGCTGCACAACAAGATGGCAAGAGCAAACTTTCTCTTTCACTCCAGGTTCCATAACACATACTCAAGTTTTACCTAATAAACGAACTAGTGACCATATGAACTTCGGACAAGCTGATCCTGAAAACTGAGGCAAGCAAAATTTAGGCCTCCTTTGAAACAAAGGATTTGTGGAGGAATTTTGTAGGATTCCAATCCTATAGGAAAGTTTCATATTTGGTCCTCTGAAACAAAGGATTGGAGCTTCTCAAATCCTATGAAATTCCTTAGGAATGGCTCAATACATGTAGATTTTAGAGGAAAGCTAGCAAGAGATACAACCTCTTGGAAAATTTCCTTTGAGTCTATCTTTGTCATCTATTTCCTGTGCTTCTCCTATTCATGTATTTTACCATTCCTCATTTCAACTGGAGCCTTAACTTATCTTTGGAGAGCTGATGGCTATATATATTAACCACAGTTAAGTACGCTATCATTTCCTCAAGCATTTGCTTATAACATCAACGATTGCCAACATTTCCACTTCTTTTTTTTTTGCCTCTCCATATACCTATTTTTGCGCAGCCCCAAATCTGGTCGTGGCTCCATGCAAAACTACAAACTTGATTACTACTTTCGATGCCCAAGAGAATGATCCAACTAAAATTGCATCGCTGTACAGGTCAACACCTCAAGCTTTCCATCTTTTAATTCAGCAACATATGCTCTAAGCATGAGCTCGTCCTCCAGGTCAACCAAAACAAAGAACGCCATCTCTTCTACTCATCCAACAAGAGCAGATTACGAGGGGGACGAACAACTCACCGCCGCATGGGGCTCGAAGGGGTGCTCCTCCTCCAGGTGCGCGCAGAGGGAGACGACGTCGTGGTCCTCGTAGCAGTAGGGGCACGCGAACTCCGGCCTCACCTCCTCGTCCATGTCCACCTCCTCCATCCCCGCTCGATCTGCACCCAGCAAAACCAAACCAAATAATCAGAAAAAAAAAATCCCCCCATTAAACAGCCCCCGCACCGCACGGCAAAAGGGAGAAATCGAACAAATCCGAGGAGAAGAGAGAGAGAGCGAGGTGGACGCACCGGCGTGGCCGAGCTGCGCGGCGTAGAACCGCTTGGCGGCGGCCAGGCGCGAGATCCAGTGCTCCGAGTCCATAGGCTTCGGCGGAGCGGGTAAGATAAGGCTCGCTCCCCTCCCCTCCCCCACTCTCCTCTCCTCGTAGCGTTGGCCGCCGCTCCTCTCCTCGGCTCCACGCGATCAGCACGGCGGAGATGTAGCTCGGCGGGGTCGTCGGCGGGGAGAGGAGGAGGAGGGGGAGGAGATAGTCTCCTCGTGCCTTATCGGGAGGTGAGGTGAGGTGAGATGCGGGGGAGGAGTGAGGAATGGAGCTAGGTATACCGCGGGTTTTTTTTTTTATTCTTTGGGCACCGGGTCGCGACTCGCGAGGTCGCCGTCCCCCGCCGCGTCATCGACTCCTCACCAGCCAAGCCGGTGGCTGCCGCTGCCTCCCGGTGTTTTTGGGCGGTTTTACTCTTACCCCGCCGTGAAACGGAAACACGCCGCGTCGCCTTTGTCGCCGCCCACCGTATGGTGGATTGGTGGGGCCACGCCGCGGCGCCGGCGGCGTTCGCGCCAAATGCCCACAGCGTACGGGCGTGGGAGTAAAATTCGTTGGCATAAAATCGCATCCGTCACCGTGAGCCCGTGAGACCGGACCGTGGCCGAGACGGCGAACGGCCGAGGACGGGGTGAGCCGGGCTCCGCTTGACCGCGTGAGGTCGGCGCATGGTCGGGCTAGCGTGGGCCGTGGGGTGGAGTTCGTGTGTCGGCAACAGCGTGGTGGTGTCGCTCCAGCGACGCGTGTTGGTAGCCATGGCACATCGGGACGACCGGACGAGTATACGTCCATTCTTCTCTCAGTACTCCCTAGTCCCTAGTCTTAAAAAAAAAAACTCAATTCCTAACGTTAGTTCCAATTTTTTTTTCCAAACTTCTAACTTTTTCATCACATCAAAACTTTCCTACGCACACAAACTTCCAACTTTTTTATCACATCATCGTAATTTTAACCAAACCAATTTCAGTGTGAACTAAACACAGCCTGTTTCCGTATATAACGTTTGACCGTCCGTCTTATTTGAAAAAATTATAAAAAAATTTAAAAAGATAAGTCATCCATAAAGTATGTTTTATCATCTAACAACAATAAAATTACTAATCATAAAAAAAATCATATAAGACGAACGATCAAACGTTTGACACGGAAATCCAAGAATTGAGTCTTTTTTGGAGCGGAGAGAGTGTCTTTTTAGAACGGAGGGAGTAGGAGTTACTAGCAGTAACTCAGTTCAGTCATTATAATTTTTAAACGGTTAAATGTGTCAAATGCTGCGTTTCTTGAAAGAATTTTCTATATAAAAGTTGCTTCAAAATACGAAATAAATTTATTTTTCAATCTTCTAATAATTATTAAAACCCAATTAACATACATTAATGATTTTTTTCCTAACTTTAATCTACGGGGCCATGACCGGAGTTGGGTGCAAAAGCACTGATAAGCCTACTACCATTCTTTAACCCACTCCTAAATTAAACCCTCTAACTAAGGATGCAAACGGACCGACCCACGAATTTACTTATAGGTCAAATACTAGATGATAACCGCATCTAAATATGCAAGTGGGTCAATATATACTCATTTTTAGGTCAAATTATTAGGTAACCCGCGGGTTACCCACTAATTTAACTCGCGGGTTACCCACTAATTTTATCTATAAGTGGGTTCGCGGACAAGCCCGCTTGCAACCCTACCTCTAACCCAAAACTATCTTGACTTGTCAACAATTACGGATTACGGGTACAACTTCCCAGTCCATTTCAGAATGAACATTTTGTACCATCAAAATTTCGTGCAATAGGTACAACAACATCTACACCTAGGCATTTTTAGTTTTTTACTCCAAAGCAATGTGAATCAGACTACCAACCTGAAAGAGATTGTACAAAGGAATTCCTCCTCTATGCACCACAAAAGCTGTGTATAACGTTTCTACTAGTTCTCATCAGTATCTCACACATCTAAGGCCGCATTGCCTTTTTGCATCGTGTCACATGACCTGAAAAAGCTCTCAACGAGAAATTCGTCGCGGCTGCCGGATGATCACCAGTTCAACACCACCAACACAAGAAAAGGCTTTGATACTACATCGGTGCAGTTGCTCGATCTACTGCCCCAGCAGCCGCTTGACGCCGGACTTCTGGTCGGCGGTGAGCCTCGCCGGGAACTTGATGTCGAACTTGACCCTGAGATTGCCCTTCTTGGAGGGGTCCTTGGGGATGGGCATGCCCTCGCCGCGGACGACCTCCTCGTAGCCCGGGTTGATGACGGAGGTGATCGGGATCGTCAGGCTGCGGCCGTCGAGCGTAGTCAGGTGGACGGTGTGGCCGGTCAGGGCCTCGGCGAGCGGTATCTTCTGCGTCACGACGAGGTCGTTGCCGTCACGGGTGAACACCGGGTGCGGCTTCTCGTCGATGATGAAGACGAGGTCGGCCGGGATCACGTTCGGCTGCTCGTTTCCTTTCTCCGGGAAGGTGATCTTGGTGCCCTTCTTCCACCCAGGCTTCACATCGATGGTCAGGATCTCCTCCACTGGAATTGTCTTCCTGCACAATCACAATGAGCAGCATTGTTCAGTACACAATACGAACTGAAACATAAGGCTCTGCCACATTGGATTATTAGATTAAGGACCGAGGAGAATTGCTCAAGCAATTGATTAAATACTAATATAGCTAACAAATACAACTAGCTTAAAGAAGTTGTCTACACAATGCAGTTTGTGAAGAAATCATAATATTAGAAGCGTGGCACAAATAATCCATATCTCAATTACTATCTATCTAGAACACGCTGTAATTTGGAGAATGTATGAAATTAAAACTATTTGGATGGAAACAGTTTTAAGCATCCATCCCAAATTCAATTGACACAAGTGCTGCAGTACTAAATAAGTACTGCTAACAAAAATCGCTAATGGCCGTTCGAAAAAAACAAAAATCGCTGATGCTAATTGCATACTAAATCAAAACAGTTTTAAGCATCCATCACAATTTCCAATCTGATAACAGTGCTACAATACTAAATCAGTACTAACAAGTGACAAATCGTTAATGCTAGGACATACTCCAGTAAACAAGATTGTTAATTTTGTGATCTGTGAAGCAAAGGGAGAGAGACTTACCCACTGGCGTCAGCGATTTCCCTGGAAATCTTCATCTTCTTGGTGGTGCCTTTGTAGAGCTCCTCCAGGCTGCACGGCAGCTTCCTCTCGATCGCCGGCGCCTTCAACGCCCTCCCGGCGCCACCGCCGTGCATCCCGTGGTGCCCGTCGGCGCCGCCGCCGAACGCCGAGCCGAAGATGTCGTCCCCGAAGATCGACGACGAGAACCGCGTGCCGCCTGTCCGCATCCCGGGCCCTCCCCCCATGCCGCCGCCCATGCCACCGCCCATGCCGCCGAACGGGCTGGACGAGCCGAAGAACTCCGCGAAGATGTCCTCCGCGTTGCGCGGGTTGAACCGGAACACGTTGGGCCCGTCGCCGCCGGTGGAGAAGAACGTCGCGCCTCCCGGGCCGGCCCCGCCGGCGCCCGGCGGCGGGACCTGCCCCTTGAGCCCCTCCTCGCCGTACTGGTCGTACACCGCTCGCTTCTGCGGGTCGCTCAGCACCTACGCCGACACCCAGCACAAGCACAAACACAAACACCATGGAAGCGTCACGTCATTGCCCAATTCAGCAAAAAAACGAATCCACTCAGAAACAGATCTCTGTCTGGCTGCTTACCTCGTACGCCTCGGAGATCTGCTTGAACTTGTTCTCCGCCTCCTTCTTGTTGTTGGGGTTCTTGTCAGGGTGCCACTTCATGGCGAGCTTGCGGTACGCCTTCTTGAGGTCGTCGTCGCTGGCGGCCTTGTCGACGCCCAGGATCTTGTAGTAATCCATCCCCATGGGCTAAAACCTTCTTGAGCTCGATCTGTTCGGCCTCTTGGGTGTGGTCGCGTCGCGTTCTTGGCTATTCTCGCCGGAGAGGAGAGCTTCGTGTTGCCGTCGCTGCGGTTGTGTGGTTTGGTACGATGCTGGGGGGAGAGAGAGGGGGGAAGAAAAGAGGGGAGAGAGAAGAGTCTGGAGAGGGAGGAGAGAAGAGGAGTGTGGAGATGGGTGTGGAAGCTTCCAGAACGTCCTGGAGGGCGCGCGCGCTATCTCGGTGCACGTGAGACGGACGGACGCGTAGTTGGTTCGGTTGGGTCGGAAATATTCTGCGCTCATCCGTCGTCAGCTGCCAGCCTGCCACGTTTGCAGCTTGGGTCCAAACTTTTCGATGAGAGAATTTACGCAAGAATTTATACGATTAAAATGTTATATAAAATTTTCCATGGAGAGCTTTGATTTTAAGGATTTGGAGTTTTCCAAATCCTACAAAAATTACTATGAGTCTCATTGGTTAGCCTAATAACTCAAAATAAGAGCTAAAATTTGAATTTTCGAATTTGGTTTTGAAGTTGGTGGGACTATGGAATGGCTCATTGCACGTAGGTTATGCAGTAAGTTTGACAAGAGGTCTAACTTTTTGAAAAAATTCCTTTGAATCTATCTCTCTCATCTAATTCATGTGTTTTTCCTGTGGTCCAATCAAACGACCATTCATATATCTGTTTTTGTGTTTTACAATCCTCCATTTTGTACTTGCATTCATATCAGAATCTCGTGTTTTTTTATTTCTATGATTCAAAGGGCGTTTCGTTTTTGGAATTCGATTTGGCATGTGGTCTTTGTTTTTATCTCGGATTAGAGTTTGAGTTTCTGTTCTTCAAATTTTGTTCGACATTGACAAGTTTTGGCAATTCTTAGATTGCTACCATGTCAATTTTTTATAATGTCAAATTTTAGTATGGTTAATTTAACAAAATTAACAGCCCATAACCCCCATAACGAAAGCGCCACCGAGACCAATTACCGGCGATGCCTTCTCATCAAGCCGGATCGACTACTCGGCATTGCTACATCTGCCCAGCAACTCAACCAAAGGAGAGATGAACTCGGCATGCATGGGAGTATCAATCCGGACATCTCTATCGCCTTCGGCATAAAGAATAGTACGATCATGTTAGGCCAACCCGAGATTAGAACTCGCAGCAAGGAATGCAATGCAGACAGCGGGTTCCATATTGGATGGGATTTTATCGGGCTTCCCCTCTTAACTTTTCCTGCCGTACGAGGTAACTTTGTACGGGAATGATTTCCGACATTGAATATACTGTGTATACATCCTGCTACATGTTGGTAAATTACCAATACACTTCTACAAAACCGATAATCCTCTACTATGTATGGATAAACCATCTGTTTGAGCTAGATAGAACCAGATGTAAACCGTACCATCACTTGGTTGCCACGTGACCTTCAAAAGGCCAGACTTCTTAATTCATTCGTTTTATTCGCTATACTCGGAAGAATATGATGTACCGTCTTCATCCTCGTCACCGTTCTCCGCTCCACCACCGCCACCATCGCCATCGTCATTGTCCTCGACATCATCCTCGCCCATCTCAGCATCGTCGTTGTCTTCGTCAACATGCTGTTCTGCATCGTAGTCCTCTCCATCTTCCTCACCATCTTCATCCCCTTCGGCATCTTCTTCATTATCGTCACTCCCATCATCCATCATCTGAAGAGGGCTGGACCCAGAATTGTCCCTTGAATAATCTGGGAGCAGCTCATCGTACTCCTCGTTCATGGGTTCACTATTTTCCTCACTCGATTCCTCTGACTGAGAAGCTGAATTGTCCTCATCATCCTTGACATATGACGGCCTTCTCTCCAAGCCCCACTCTTCTGCACCAGAACTCTGAGGAGACTCCATGGCTGTTGTATGCTTTGCATTCCTTAGCATGCTAAAGCTGCCCAGCAAGTTTGGCTTTGGAATTGATCTGGCTCCAATATCTGATGGCTGCCGAGGTCTAACAGTTCTAAGTCCACGCCCACGTCCACGATTACGCCCTCGACGAGCATACTTTCGAGGAGCTTTCTCAGATGACACGGCGCTGGCACTGTAACCCCTGAACTCGATCTTGGGGGAGCTGCTAATACCTCTTGGGACCTTGCCACCACGACTCCGGGATCTGCCTCCCCTGCTACCGCCTCGACTACCTCGTCCACGGCCACCCCGACCGCCTCGTCCGTTGCTTGGAGTTAGCCATGTTTCTTGTCGATCAAAACCTGTTCCCATAGGTTCAGTTTCTTGTTTGGTCTTAGCAGGAGTATATCTTGGCGGAAGCTTCTGCATAGAAGTATCAACACAATTACACAAAGGGACAGCTAGAAGGGTGTGATTCAAAAAGAACAAACTGCTATATAAATCACATTTAATGAATGAATAACAGTATTTTACGCTATCTATTTATTTTCCTTGCGTAAAAACCTCAATACAATGATCATAAGAAATAAGACTCACCATGAACTCTCCAGCTCCCCGCTCCTTGTTTGATCCCACCTTCTGACGAAGAGTGTATGAGATGGCAGAATCTAGGTCTAACAATCTTAAGACAACAGCAGCAACAGTGTCAGGAACCCATGGAAGTACATCAGCAGATCCAGAACGTGGAACAGTATTTCGAGAAGCTGAATCTTGCGTGCTTAAATTAAGTAACTCAGTTGTTGTCTCAAAGTCAGATGACAAGAAATCCCGTCTTATGGCACCTTCCAGAATGGTTAGCATCTGGCAAAGCATGACAAAGCACAATTCAGAGGCTGATAGGCATAGCCAATATATACGAAAAAGCTGCTATCAAATTGCCAAGATTTCCATTTTAAAAATCAAAGCATTTATCTTGCAGAATCAATTTGTCACGGCAGGTTTTTTAACGACCCATTCTTCCAAAGAGAACCCCTTGAACTAAAAACACTTCCTAAATAGACCAAACAGGACCAATATGATTTAGTCTTCCAGCAACATGTGTATCATGGCAGCTAAAATACCAGTACAGTAAACACAGCTTATTTAGTGAAATAATTTCCTATAAGTATCATGTTACTCTTGCCAAAGAATTATCCTCTTAATAATTTCCTATAGAGCAAACACAGCTTATGGGGTTCCAAGTGAAACCCCAATGGACCAATGCAACTTATGTCTAGCATAGTAATACTCTTTTAGCCTGCTATTGCAAATACAGTAGAACTCAGTGTAAAAGATGTCCTCAAAACGGAAGTAAGGAACTGCTGGGTGTATTAAAGAAAGAGAAGGAAAAGATGCACAAACCTCAAAGACTTCTTTTGTAGACGATGTGGAATACAACTTCACACCCCAAGATTTCCGATAAACATCTGTCCAGAATGGTTCGAGAGCTTCAGCTGGAACTGAAGCCTGTAAAACAAAATGTTAACAAGTTAGACACACTCACTACTTGCACTCAACAAAATAGAAAGATAAGGCCACATCAGAAATATGTTGCTTGACCTCAACGGTTGCTAAAAGCAGCTTTAGCAATCTCAATCCTACAGGAACAGAATAGTCTGAAATTTGCATCTTCCAATTAGGATCTGTTCTCCGTTTCTCTTCACACTGTGAAGAGTGTTCTGAGATATTGTGAATGGATTTGAATGTCTTGTGGCAAGAAGCACAGTGTGTTTCTTCAGCTAAGTAAATCTGATAGCAGAAATCACAACATTGTATCAGCTCAGAGCATCGTTTCTTTCCATGTTTCATGGCACATGTTGGTTGGTGATTGTTGCATTCTTTCCACATCCACTTTATAAACAGATCAGCCCTTTCTGAAATTGCAGTCTTTTCAACATCATTACGCCCAAGTTCTATCCTGAAGGAATCTGAATATGCCATAGCACTATCGGTTGCAACACCAGAAAGGGTACTGCATGGACTTCCAAACTCGTTACTATGATTCGGACTTATGATCTCACTAGTTCCATTTTTCAAAACCCTTCCGGCCGACGGTTCTATGCTGGCACACCTTTTCCTCCCAATAGCTTCCTTGAAGGTTGGTTCAATGCTTTGCAACATTGAATGAAGATGTGACTCACGGATGCCACGAGTATCAAGAGAAGATACTAATGCATCAAAAGTCTGCATTTAATTAGGCATAACATTGAAATTATCAGAGACCCAGAAAGTACTTGGACAAGGGACTCTTAACATCAAAAGCTGGTTCTTAGATAAACAAAACAAAGGACAATATACCCTAAATAGAGCACATATCCATTTACGATGCAAGTATTCATATATATATAAACCACTACTGCATGTAGCATCTAGGTTTTCTACAACTAGTCCTGGGAATTGTTCAGTTGCTGTTATCAAGTACGAGCCCAGAACACCACAGAAAAATCTTGAATCAGCACTCCGATAGGTATCAATCATCCAAGAGAGAAGTTAGAAAAGCCTAATCTTTGATTGAATCCAAGCAAATGCCCGTACAATTTAGTACCACTGCTCCACCAGTTAAAACACTGGATCATGACTTAATCATTTAACTGATGTAACCCAGAAGTTGTGCTCGACATGATATGTCCCTATCCTTAGATAAATAAAAGCAAGCTTTAAAATAGAAGCATATGGGATAGTGAGAACTACTATCTAAGCAATATGGCTCATGTCAACCACCAAGACGGTTTACATTTTCAAGACCCTCTAAAATAATTCCACTTTACTATTACAACTGTGACATCGTCTAGTGGTATGGACAAATCTCTCTTTATCTACCATAAGTAAAGCTGATGTAGCGTCCTATTTCAAGGGATACATAAATTACATGAAAAAGTGATTAATCGGCACATCGAAACACAAACCTCACCAGCTGAATTTGTGCTGTTAGTATAATATGTATTGTGAATAAGCTATGGGTTACAAAAGAAATAAAAATACCTCAATTGAGTCAATCAGCCTCCAGTATCCATCTCTAGATTCAAAAAAGATCCTTCCAGAACCAGGGTCATCGGGGGATGCAGAAGTTGAAAACTGCCAGTACCGGTTTCTTCTCCGATCTTGCCCGAGGGGTAGTGATCTGTATACATGAAGTTGTTCTGCTTTGTGGCCTATATATGATTTCAACTGAGATCTTGTTTTCTCAGATGTAACATATTGTTGACCAGACAAATTTTCTGGATTAGCACTAAATTCCTGCCTTACACCGTTCCTTTCATGAACCACGCTGCAAGCATTAGGCTGACTCTGCTGATCGACAGGCAACTCGTTGTTTACTAAGCTGCCATTTCCATTACTGTCTTTAACAAGGTTATGCACCGGTGTAAGATTACTTTCGGCGAGAGTATTTTGTTGATCTACATCGGTCTTTAAACCCATACCAGAATCATATTGCATTTTACTAGAAAATTCCTCCCTCGAACGTCTTTTATCAAGTTGTGCTTCTGCCCACATTTGCTTTTTCAAAGCACTTGCTGCCTCCAGCCGTTCCTGCAAAGATCCTTTTGGTTCAGATGATGGGAAAATGACAAGATATCAAGATCATGCAAGATAATTACCTCAAGAACTGCACGTATAGAATTTCCTTCAGTGGCAACACCAATCAATGCAACCAATGCATTGAGGCGCTCCTCAACACTGAGATCACAGTAGTCACCCTCCGCTAGCCCCTGTACCCAGGACTCCCCCTGGTTACTTTCGTCAATCTCTGCGTCTTGAGCACTGTCGGAAGCACCTTCATGATTATCCGATGAGATTTCAGCTGGTAGATCACTTGTAGTACGGACTTGTACAGACTTGTCCAGAGTGCGCAATGAGCTACTCTCAGAAGATTTAGTGTGGATGAGTGGTGTCGTTAATGAGTTAACTATGCTATTTGTTTCCTTCTTTATGTCACCAACTGCAGTTGGCATGCCACCATCTTGTGCCTTAACCAGGGAAGTCTTGACATCTTTTTCCTCAATATTCACTTCATCACCATCAGGATCATCGTCAGCATCATCACACTCAGAATCTTCATCCCTCTCAGCATCATCCACATCCTTCTCCACTTCTTCACACTCAGAAATAGTGTTCTGAAACACCCTTATTTTTTCACGTGCTGCTGCCAACACAGCCTCTGAATCAGCAGGATCTTTTCTGTATGGAGTTTTAACACAGTATGTTGAAGGTGCAGTCCTTTCGAAAAGCTTTGAATCCCTTGACAGTGCAGCAGATATAGATGCCTCAGGTGTCTTGCTTGTTGTAAGGTCTCTCAGTCCAGATTTCTGAAGAGATCAATAAACAAAATCAATAAGATAGCAACAGGTTACAATTGAACTTTTTTGGATGTGGTCGGCATACCTGTATTTTTTCTGCAACTTCCAATATCGTGAGACCTTGGCTCCCTTCAAGTGACAACACATGGAACGCAGCAAACTTTACAGTTCCAGGTGTCAGACGGTGTCGAGACCTGCGGCGATTACCGTAGCCTCTTTCTTTCATTTTAGCAGCAGCATTTACAGCTGCTGAGCCACTTCTCAGTATGGAAATAACATCCTCACCATTACGACCCTGTTTGCAAATTTTGAGTTGTTCAGGGCTGTTAGGGTTGAGAGAATTTTATTTCTTGCCATAAAGAGAATAAAACTGTGAAGTGGCTAATCTGCTTTTTTGCTTCAGATTACAAAAGTTTCTCCAATTATACTTTCATTCAAGGACCACATTCAGTATTTAAGATAGGATAATCCCTTGTTCGTAGGACCATGATCCTACCAATGCCTCGAGAACTATGATTCCAAATATTTAGGATTATGCTGTTATTTTATATTGTAATTCCTAACTACAATCCTGGAAGGACCAAGATCAAAATAGCCTAGCAAGATCATAGGATCGCGGTACTGATAGCTTCTATGTTTGAATTTTCCATCAAAAGCATAAATACCATTGTACCTCAGGATTCTATGGAGCCAACTATAAGACTAAACAGTAGGCGTTTTCTCTGAATCGAAAATTGCTCAGGAACCAAAATACCAGAGATATTGATACAACAATACAATCTACAATCGTGCAAGTTATTGCCTCCAACAGAACTACACAGATTGCACATGATTATGATGCAGCTATCAGGAATAAACTAATTTAAATGCATATGCATTGGACACTTTCAACAGACAAATACCTCATTATCATCATGATTATTGACATTTTCAGCATTCCTTTTCCTTAACTGTGGTCCAAGACCAGCAGATAAACCAAACTGGCGCAATATTTCAGGCCATGTAAGCAAATTCAAGTGTCGCTGCCAGGCAAGTATGTTGAAGCCCCAATCGTATGCCTAGCAATAAGAGATCAGGAATGTTTTAGAAAATATAAATAGCACAGAATTTACTCAATTTGAATAGAAGCTCTATGTTATAGCAAAGATCTGCACACACACCCCTTCAACAATTTGTGGATGACCACCTCCAGGATTAGCAGTCATCCCTGAAGCAACTGAAGGAGTCCGGGCAACATCCTCAATATCTTTTATTATGGATTTCAGCAGAGCAACATGCAATTCTCCCAACAACCTTGAATCCTATAGCATGAATATCAATAGTCATACTCACATAGAACAAGCAGCTAAAAAATATTAGATGTGAGAATGAATCATACATGTACCAAAAGTTAAATGCTCGTACTATAATAATGTACCAAGAGTCAAATGCCAGTTAGCATATTTTGGTATCGATGAGTTGGATATACAAACTCAGAGAGCACAGAATATCATGTACAGTACAAATGTCAAAACATCCATGTCATGTTGTGGTTCTTATTCATATTACTAGGATAAAACAGAGAAGCAACACCATGCCATCAACTCACACATTTGTGTTTGCACCATACCAGGATTCACTTTTAGCATGATGGAATGGGCAATTAACTTACATAATCATGAAGAGACTGCACAAACTCATCAAGCGTGAATGACGGAATCCCAAGAACATCCGCAAAGGTAATGAAGAACTTCCACACCTGTGGATATCATTAAACAGCAGCAATTTTTACAACTTACAACAACTCTATAGGCTTCTAGCATATAATGCACTTTGAATAGAAGAAAATTCATAACAAGAAAGTACCATCAAAAGGTTTCCAATATTATCTTCAGAGCTTGTCCATGGTTTTATTGAAAATGGCACCTTCAATCTCACAATTTCACTAGGAAATTGTCTCAGCATTCCTGTAAAAGGGCAGACAAAACTTTAGATCCCCTATATTATGCAGCCAGAGATGTTTGTGTAGTGATCATGTGAGGTGAAGTGTTTTGTATGCGCGCTGTAAAATGCTAAGAACTTTGCTGGCTCTTTTTAATAAAAGTTGGGTCTGGGGTGTCATGCCTTTTGGTTTAAAATTGTCACCTAGAAGAAATTGTCACTGAATACTAGGTAACATGAGTGAACAAAATTGTCATAACACACCAAGATAACCCATAGTGTGACTATTCGATCCAAACCAAAGAAAGTATTTTTGATGACCTAGCAGCAAGTAGGCTGTAGATAATGATTGCATAACCTATTCTATTTTTTCTCATCCTGAATTTGAGAATGTGGAAGTGCGTTACAAGGTATTTCAGTTTTTCGTACAGAGAGGTACACTGATTTCGGCTTAAATACCAAGCACTACTCTTTACAAAGATATAAAACTACGAAGGGGTGAAATTAGATTTCACACTGCCATATCAGATAAAGGGTGAACCTAACAAAAGAACTATCATAAATTCGAGTATCAGGTCTATTATTTTTGTAAACATATAACTATATTTTTCATCCTTAAAATGAAGTGCCTTTAAAGCCATAACAATTGCATCTACCCAATTGAGAAAAGAAAAGTTCTTTATTCAATCAGCAAATGTAGTTTCTTTCTGAAATGAAAACAAAGTAAGCTGATAAATTCTGCAGCGTACACTGACTAGAAGACTAGATCTAGGAGTGTTGAACGTACCTCTGAATGAATCAAGCTGCTGCAACGTGTCGCTATCAAGAGATAGCATAGAGGGCAACCCTTTGCTTCGTGAAACCAGTTCCATTAGTTCTAGGCGCTCATCTTCCATGAGCTCCATATACTCCCGTGCAATTCTACGTGCTGTAGCCCTTTCATTGGCAGCCTTCTGCCTTGCGGCTTCTTTCTCCTTACGAAGCTCCTCCTTTTGTCTTATTTTTTCAGCCTGCACATACAAAAGATTGTAAACTACATAGTAGCAATAATCTGAACTCTATACTTGTCACATTAAAAGTCCTAGAACTAGAGAACTCACTCTTAAGGACTGCTTCAGCAAATATTTTTCCATTCGCTTGTGTTCACGCCTTTGTTCCCTTTGGAATCTCTCTTCTTCCTTCTGCTTTTCACGCAACAACCTCTCCTCTTCTTTCCTTCTTTCACGATCATTTCTCTCCATTTCCCTCCGCACTTGTTCTTCTCTCTGCAAACAGGGGGATATAAATCTCATACCAAGAACAAATGCATGATCCTCTGTAACATGAATAAGGAATACCTTTCTGTTCAACATATCTTGCTTCTCGAGCTCCTTTCTGATTCGTTTTTCATGAGCCTCAACTTCCTTTGCAATCTTCACTTCCTCGCTATGCTGTTTTAAGAAAATGATCACACATCAGCAACTAGTGCATATCCGGAATAATGAGCAAGTTTACATAAAGTCAGTGAAAAACCATACTTTGCGCTTTCTTTCCATTCGAAAAGCATCGTCATCATGATAAACCATTCTGTCTGAGGGTGCAACGGAGTTTTCAAATCCAGCAACCTGAGGAATTCCATACTGGCTTTCATTTGGAACAGAACTAGAATTGATATTAGATGGATCCATCTCATAATCTGTTGATCCCGATGAAAAAACTGGTGGCCTGCCATGTAGAGATAAATGGCTAGAACCAGAAATTTGTCCATGGAATGTATAGCCAGGTGCCTTTTCAACACCATGGAGGAATCGTGATCCTGTCGACATCCTTGAATCCGAAGCTTCAGTTAAAACATCATAGTATCGTGACTGGGTCGTCCTCTCATATATATCACTTGACTGTTCAGGAATAAATTGGTATTCACGAACTGCCCGTGAACCAAGATGGGAAGAACTTCCTGTCATGGACTTTCTCTTCCCAGAAACTGTACTTGGAACAAAAGGATCTATGCTAGGCAAGAATGCAGATGCCTGAAAGGGGAAAACATAGATTGAATACATTGATAAGTAAAGAAACAAAAGACTATACTAAAAGCAGCTAAACTTGAAGATGAACAGAACAGGAGACGTAATCAAATATAAGGACGGTGAAGTATTTAAAAGTGGATGTGAATGGTCATGGGTTTAGGTAAATATCTAGTACAACTACAATATAACATCGGTAGTCTAAAGTTTTGTTTTATAAGTATTAATTATTAATTCTCTTTGGACCACATTAGCTTATAGATATTGCAGAATTATGATGCATCCAACATCAGTAGTATAACATGAATATTTTTACACTATTTACATTATTATAACCTGTGAAGGCTGATAACCAGGATTGATAAATAGACCCTTTACTGGAAGTCAACTATCAAAAGACAGCATGCATGCATGCAGCAAGCTAAGTGCTAATGTAACATACCTTAATGTGCTTTGTATCATGCCCAGAAAACATTTTGGCCTCATAAGATCGGAAAGGCTGTCTCTGTTGCTCTGGAACTGCTCCAAACATAGCAAAATAACAGCACAATTGAAATCAGCAGATTGGAAGTATGAAATGAACATATTATCAGTATCAACGCTGAAACAATGCAATCATCATTTAAACTTGCTAACGCTTTCCTAAACACATAAAAGATGAAATGCAAGTCTAATATCTGTCACAATTCTCAGTTATGTAGGTAACCACGGAGTTTACCTGTCGAACAGTGGGTGATGACAGAAAATGAACTATAAAGATCGATCCAACATGTTGGTTTTTAGAATCATGTATATGTATTAGAACAGTGCAAAGGATTCTTTCTAAATAAGTGAAACATTCATATTGCAGCACCTATAAAATGCAGGATGGAAGCATCATGGGCATGAAAAACATACCAATAGGCGCCCCAAATGCGCCAGGAGGGAGAGGATCAAACTCGACACCAAGCACTGGCCCATCCTCCCGGAGCGGCTCCCCTATCAGTCGTTCCACAGAATCAATCACCCGGTGCTCAGCTCGTGTGAGCTGCATTGGTGCCAACGGAGGTAGCATAACTTGTGGTGGCTCATAATATCTCCGCGCAACCTCTGATGCAGAAATCCTCGGAACAGCCGATGGTCTGCCAGTTCCTCTCCGGGAAGAGGGGGACAGCAACGGCTCGCCATACATCCCACCAGTACCCATTGTTAGCTCGCTGTGTGGCAGTGGTGGTGGCAGAACAGGAGGCGGCGCCATAACCGGCACAGGAACCTCCTCCTCCAGCTGCTGCCGCTTCGGCGGTGGCTTACGGTCCTTCAACCGCCGGTGGCAGAACCACATCTGCAGCTGCCTGTCCGTCAGCCCTAACTTCACAGACAACTCCGCTCTCATCGTCTCATTTGGATACGGATCCTCTGCAGCAACACAGACAAAACCAAGTAAGCACAGAAATCACAGGGCTGTTTCGATCGAAAAATCGACAAATCAAACACGAAATAGCCCTAAAAATTTCCAGAATCCCCAGTCCCCCATAGGCCATCATCCACGAACCTGTGTATGTCCTCTCGAGAACCTCCAACTGATAGGGCGTCTTCATCACGCGCTTCACCTTCCCGCTGGATCCAGAGGCGCCTGCTCCACCACCAACGGCGGCGGGAACGGGAGCGGAAGCGGAAGCCGGAGCCGGAGCCGGAGCCGACGCCGGGGCAGGGCTCTCCTCCTCCACCCCAGCCGGCGCAGCTCCCGCTCCCTCGTCCCCTCCATCGCCGGACGAATCCATCCCCCCACCCGATCAATCAAATCGAGAATCCCAAACCCTAGATTCGCCGATTCCGCCCGCCGCCAACACGATCGATTCAACACACAAACTCCAAAATCCAGCAAACCTAAATCCCCTCGATATATAGCCCACGGGCCAACGACGACCCGAACCGAATCCGGCGACGACCTCGATCCGCAGCAGCAGCAGCAACAACAACAACAAAACGAGGGGAGGAGCAGGATGATGAGGAGAAGGAGGGTGCGTGCGAGAGGGGAAAGAGACCGCGGGGAAGAAGAGGAATAGAAAGAAAAGAGGAGGAGGATGAGGAGGAGCAACACGGGAGGCCACTCCAAACCTGTTCTTCCACCGCTCGATCCGAACTGGTCAGGATTTGGATCGCTCGTTCCATCGTGGTGTTACTACTACTACTCTCCTAATAAAAACCCCCCTTTATTATTCGCTGCTCCTGCCTGCCTGCCTGACTCTTCTGCCGCCTCTGCTTCCTTCCGCTGTGTTTGTTGTTGTTGTTGGTGCTATCCTTTTTTTTTCTCTTCGCGATGGGGAGAGGAGAGGAGAGGAGTCCGGGAGTGTGCGAAGGAAAGCGAGGAAAGGTGCGGAATAATGATGGGATGTGGCTGCGTGGGCGCTCGGATTCGCTGGGGTTCGCTCGATCTTGCGGCGTTGGCGAGCGAATGAGATTTGATCATGTATGTGCGCGGCGTGTGTGCGCGCGTGTTCATAGGTGGCGTAGAACTGGGCGTGGATCTTCTGTGGCAACGGCGGCGTGCGGGTGGGAGGAGTTTGGGAGTGTGGGGCCCTGGTTGGTGGTGGGGTACTTGGTGTGCCTGGCGTGCCAGTTGGGTTGGGTCGGATTGGGAATCCAGTGAAGTATCCGCGGCCTGTGGTGTGGGTGGGGGGATGTGGGCCGTGGGATTTGGGGCCCGTGTGGCAGTGGGATTCGGGGTCAGGTTGATGAGTTTGGATCCGTCGATGTTTGTGTTCTGTACCTTCGATGTGATGGTTAAACTGTTCTTGTGATTGGACGTGTTTTGAATTGAAGACTACCACTAAAAATTTTAGATCCAACGTAAAAAAAACTTTTACACCCCGTCACATCGAACGTTTGAACCCCTGCATTAAGTATTAAATATAGGCTAAAAAATAACTAATTGCACATATTGCGATTAATTTGCAAGATAAATATTTTGAGCCTAATTACGCCATGATTTGACAATGTGGTGCCACGGTAAATATTTACTAATGATGGATTAATTAGACTTAATAAATTCGTCTCATGGTTTACTGATGGATTCTGTAATTAGTTTTTTTATTAGTGCCCGAACACCCCTTGCGACATCCTATATAAAATCCGATGTGAAACGTCAAAATTTTACCCCTGGATCTAAACACCCCCCTAAGAGCAAGGTCAATAGTATAGCCAGCTGATGGCTCCACTCGTATCCATGTCATTTTATAGTTGATGTTAAAGCTAATTTGTACAACATAGTGGCTATTGTGTTGACTGCATCTCATCCATCAAAAATTTATTTTATACGCATATATTGATATACATGATCGAAAGTGAACTCAATCCCTGTGGTCGTTGTTGTGCAATACTCAGGAGTGCTATATACATAAAAGGAAAATACAAGTCACAGACAGCAAATAGACGAGAAGAACAAAAGAATTAGGAAGAGATTAGATGACAATAACTCAAATTAGAAAGCTATTCGCTGCTCCATCAACGATGAGATCCGTTTGTTCTGCTCGTAGATGCATCTGCCCCTTCTTGACGCGATGGCCAGCAGCAGCGCCAGCCCGCAGTTGTCGTCGGCGCCCGCCGCTGCCGCCACGTTCACGATCTGCTGCGCCGCGAGCGCTGCGTTCGTCGATGCCAGCGGCCGAGTCGCCAAGAAGAACGCCCTTGTCATCGCCGCCACCACGGGCGCCGACGACATCAACAGACCCTTCTTGGTCAGGCTTTTGAGCGAGATTGGGCTAGGCGTCCGGGTGGAAGATAATCGCAAGCGGCGGCCGGCGAAGACACGCCGGGAAGATTGGGCGGGGAATCGACGCGGAAGACAACTGCGAGGCGATGGCTGGCAAAGATCGATCTGCGACACTCCCGTGAGGAGAGAAACAAGATGGGCTGCGGAGGGGGAGGGAATAGCGCTGCATGTCACACGGGATCGGATGGCTCGCCGTGGGACCCACAAAGCGCATGCGAACCCGTGCTATCGCCCAGCTATAGATTAGTCGCTCGCTTTGTTCTCTCCTCTCTCTTCCACGTAGGAATTTGATGAGCTGGATATTTTTGGAGCCTGCTCAGTCAGCTTATTGTACCTGCTCTAACTCTCTTTCTACGAAAGCAGATTGTTGGATACACGCACATCCGTATAAGTGTATACTCTACCTCTAAAAATATTTTTAAAGAATAAACCGGTATACTATATATCTTAAACGTGCTGGGTTCGCCGCCATGCCACGTTTTCAACTTTTACAGAAAACCCCTCGTCGTTTTGGTATATCGGATTAGGTTCAGCTGATCAGAGCCGTTCTTTCCCACGCGTGTATGAAATCCAGTACTCCCTCCGTTTTTTAATATATGACGCCGTTAACTTTTTCTCACATGTTTGATCATTCGTCTTATTCAAAAAATTTACGTAATTATAATTTATTTTGTTATGAGTTGTTTTATCACTCATAGTACTTTAAGTGTGATTTATATCTTATACATTTGCATAAATTTTTTGAATAAGACGAATGGTCAAACAGATGAGAAAAAGTCAACGGCGTCATCTGTTAAAAAACGGAGGTAGACGAAATAAGTGCCTTGTTATTTACCAATGAAAAAATAGTAGTGGTGGACTGATTGAGACGGGGATAGTACATGTTTCCTCGGTGGAAGTCAATACAAGAAGTCACAATCAAAGTCAACAGCAGTAGTATAGTACACGATGTCATCATAATGCATATGGGCCATGAGAACCGCGGTCCGAACCCCGTCCTGCTCTCCACGGGCCAATTCTCTCGACAATATCATCAATAGGCCCAACCAAAAGTATCATCGTCCACGGCGTGCAACCCCGCTGCACAGCCTCCGATCGAGCGCGACGCGACGAGAAAACACCACACACTTCCCACTCCACAGTCCACACACCCGCTGCCCTCGCTTCACGCCTTCACGGTGCCGGCGCGAGAGGACGACGGGTTGGAGTTGGAGATCGCGTCACTCCCCGGTTTGACCTGTGACTTGTGAGCTTGGTATTCCTCACAAGTTTGTCATCATCCAAGCTTGCACGCATTTCTAGTACGAGGTAATGCTAGCTAATTTCCCGCCCGTTTGCACCCACAAGTTCATCATATCGTCATGCCGTACTCAAACAAAGCGTAGATTAAGTTAAACTTGTAAGCATCGACTCCTTGCGAGCCCATTGGGGCCGTGATCAGCTTTACAGTGTGTTCGTTCGTGTCACAATTTAATTACATGCAATTAATGGTCCAAAGAACTAAGACGAGGATATGCACATATAGGCGTACGTGCAGGCAGAATTCTACTAAATATTAGCGCGGCGAGAGTGGGAACCCGATGCCATGGCGTGTGGTCGGGAAGCTCACGAACAGCATGCTCCCGACGACGCCGATGGCGATCGGCAGCGCCGTGAGCACCTGCCTCGTGCCCTCGGATGGCACCGGGTAGAAGCACGACACCACGTTCTGGTCGAACAGCGCGACGGCGGCGAACACCATCACGGAGACGACGGCGTGCACCAGGTCGAGTAGCCGCAACCGGTACGCCGCGGCGGCCTGCGGGTCGAGCGGCGCGCCGCCGTCGATGACCCAGAGCCCCGCCGGCGTGGCGAACCCGTACCGCACGGCGCCGCCCGTGGCGGCGTCGCGGAAGCTGTCCGTGAAGCTGAGGACGAAGCAGGAGAGCGCGCAGAGCGCGATGAGCGCGCCCGCCATGGCGCGGTTGGCCTCGACGTCGCAGTGCCCCTGGTTGGTGACGATCGGCGACAGCAGCTGGAACGCCAGCACGGTGCCCGTCGGCAGCAGCTTCGCCAGGTGCGCCGTGCTCTGGTACGTCTGGCTGATCGCCCTCTGCACCGGGCTCATGCCATTTCCGCCGCTGCCGCCGCCGCCGTCGCCGGCGGATCGCTTCTCCAGCAGCGGCCGCTTCTCATTCTCACCACCATCACGCCGTGACTCCACGTCGTCGCGCTGCGCCGCCGCCGCCATTGACGCCGATGATGATGATGATGCCCTGGCACTTGCTCGCATTCTCTTCCTCGTCTCTGCCAATGTTGCTACTGCGAAAACGGAAGGGAATTGATGAGGATTTAAAGCGTGCAAACGCATGCACGCACGAGGCGTGGTGGCGGTCGAGCGAAGCCGGCCTGCGCGTTTGCGGATGGTTGGCACTTGGCTTGCAAGGAAAAACAACCAAAAATCGAAGCAAATCGGGCAGTTTTTCCGTTGTTGCTTGCAAGTGATCGCTGGAGCCTGGAGACGAGGTGTGGTTTCTGGCGCTTCGGCGTTGAGTTAACTTTCGGGGTTGCCGCACACGGTTGAGTAACGGAATGGCATTGCAAATTTGCAGTGCCGGCCTTCGTCCAGCTACGTTTTTTTTGGTCGTGAGCGTTTTTGGTGCAAGGATTGATGGATCAAAACTAAAAAGGCAGCTTTGGCACGGAGCGGATTAGGTGAGTTTGTTGGTGATACCTCTACTGTGGCTTGGGCCGGTAGTGGATTTGCCTTGTGGAGATGGCTAAAGTACGTGTCATGTAGTCGACTAAGCATTATTGGGCAAGTGTGGTATCTCGCTTTTGTGTGTGTGTTTTTTTAAAGATAAACGTATGCGATCATAACACGTGCATACTCATTCTACAAATACACCGCTTTACCTCTATAAGCATATTCGAAAAGATTGTGCTGTCATTTGTTGAGATTCATGAAATCATCGTAGATATCTTGCTGGTATTTTTAAAATCTTTTGTGTTCTTTTCTTTTTGGTGATGGCTGATAAGTGATCACGAATTGTTGTGTTGCCGTTGCTTGAGCTGATAGGCTGATAGGCTGCCTGTTGCTTGTGCTGGCTGCTAGAGATGTTCGGTTGGAGGCTGGGGATTTAGCCTATGAAAAAAGCCCATAGAGATGGACAGGTCCAGTAGCCTGCAAAATTACAGGTAGCCCAATCTAATCCCAAGCTGATACAAGAAAGGCCCAGATGCCCAATGCAAACTTACATGAGTCAGGCTCTGATATGTTCGCCGTCATTCTGAAGCAGCTATACCAGCCTAGCTATCACAGAGACACAGACGCAATGCAATCAAAAGTAGCATAACATGAACAGGATAGCTTGGGCAAGATAAGAATAAGCTTTTGGGTGCCAAGACAAAAACCTCCTGATGCAGTGGTCCAAATACATGCATGCTCCTTTAACCTCTGCCAGTACTCCATGGCCTTTCTTTCTGGCAAAACAGATTCCTACACATTGCATGTTGTAACAGTGTAGAATGCATGCTCCACCTGAGGTCTTGGAGAACAAACATTGCAAAGCTATAAGACAGCACAAGGCTTTAATCATGTGATTATCCTTTTTCGGCCATCAATCATTAACATGCTCGATTCGGATGTCTGTAAGCTTTAGCCTAGTATTGCCCTACCTTCATGCAGCTGCATCAAAGTATCCTAAGCAGTACGTGTAAATTAATTATGACCCACAGATCATACAATGTACTTATCCTATATACTTATACAATTTATCCCCACAAACTTTAATTTTCTCCTTTCACAACGTGCCACATCACCTTAAATTAATTCGGCCATTAGATCTACAATCGATGTCTGATATATCAATGGAAAACTATTGTGATCCCTCTATGTATATCATTTGATGCAGATTTTGTTTTATTTGTTTTAGTTCGTTCTTCAAGAACGACAACAAGCTAATACATGAAGACATTAATTGGAAAAAGAGAACCTGTTCATTCTTCCTGATATGTACTTCTCTGTAGTGGCATATGAGTACCTAATGATTTGATATTTACATCTAGATAGGATACAGCTAACAAACTTCTATGTTGTGAAATTAAACGATATCGATATCCATTACCCAGTGTTTTTTTCTTGATGGTATTTATTTTGCCGTGGTACAAAAGAATAAAACAATTTAGTATTTGCCTCTTTATGCTTCATGCATGCATTTAGGGAGTTGAATAGAACAATTGTACATGCAAATTTGAGAGTCGATCATATCCAACTGCTCTATCAAATTTGTTCTAAAACCTCCGCAGCAACGCGTGAGGTACTATCATCTAGTTCATCTTAATTAGTACTCCATCTATTTTTCTTTTTAATTGTGTTGGTTAGCTCGAAATTGAACTAATCAACGTTACACATTTTAGGAAACGAAGTGGTATAACATAGCCTTGACATCATGTAGACGAACCATATATGCAAGAATTGAAGCGAACGAGTGCGATTTCATCCACGTTAAGTACCCTTCTCACTAAAAGTTGAACAATCATGCGTTGACAGATGAACATCAACGCACAAAACATCCAATCAATGCCAATATAATTTCCAATCAAAAGTACTTACTCGCCAATCTATGGAGAAAACTTGAGCTTCACCCAGAAGCCACTTAAACAGTTGGTTTAGATCAATTGTACTCCTCGATTAGTAATAGATTAGCTCGTATAAACGCCATTGTTAGCAGCTTAATTAACATATAGCTAGCTAGGTAGTCTACCAACTGCTAATAAACAGAAGAACTTCCATATCAAGTAAAATAGTAGGAGTGAATTGAACGATCGACTGCAATTAAGCCTGTATTGTACGTAGATGAGACAGTCAGTCGACACTTGGCAAGAAATTATTCTCTTTGTACTATCAGCAATCTAATGCAAAGTTTTACATACATCTGCGTCAAATGCTACATCTCAACGGCAACGTATAGTACTCCAGATATGACCTAGTGCGATATCTTAATTAATTTGTAGTACTTTGTAGGTCCATCTAGTACGCAGAGAAAAGTTGATTTTTCTTATATAAAAAAAAAACTTCTGCTGATTTAGACATGTCATCATTCACCGAGAGAGCTTATAGCACACTAGTACTCCCTCCTCCTTCCCATTTTAAAGCAGTTGAGGGTTTCGTGTTCAACATTTGCACGTTCATTTTATTTAAAAATTTTATAATATTTTTTAAAAATAAGTCGCGTATAAAGTATTGTTCATATTTTACCGTCTAATAACAACAAAAATAATAATCATAAAAAAATATCCAATAAGATGGGCGATCAAATGTTGAACACGGAAACACACAACTGTATTTAAAGTGGGACGGAGGGAGTACATAGTAGCAAAGAAATTAGAAATAATATATATTGATTTTTTGGCTCCTTCGACGCTGCCATACAATTGGGGTACCAAATCATTTTCTGATAGAGGCGTGCTAGCTTTCTCCCGATTGATCCTAATTAACAAGCTAGATGTTTTTATTGCCTCTGCAAATTAATTGACCACTCTCTTAATCATGTATTCTGATCGTTGGTTTCAGAAATCGCCACGATTAGAGGATCTTAATAAGCCCTACTGATCAAGACCATCTGTAGCAGTAGTAGACTCGTAGTGTAGTAGCAGTTCACCTCACCTAAAAGCTACAGTATGGGCAGCTCTGTCTGTGGCTGCAAACTGAAGAATGCAACAGATTGATCGAGTTGGTGCAATCCACTTCCTGCCACACACACGCGCGCCAACACCACCACCTACCAAACTTCTATAAGCTCTCTTGCATGATTAATCCTTTTCTGACATGATGCACACCTAAGCTCGAAAAGGCTATCGGCTATGTGACCAAAACTGGAACACATAACTGTTGGTTTAACTTAAGCTTCAAGCCGGATCAATTGACAATTTAGTTTTTTTTTTGAAAAACTTGTTTTAAGAATGTGCTGTGCAAAAAACATATTTCTAAAATAAACCGTGATCTTAACACCAAATCTAATAATGCAGAGGTCCAATATCATTTTAACATGAAATATGATTGGGCATTGAAACCCCAACCGTAGACTAGTTGGAGGCACGACATAGCAGCATGTGGAGGACAAGGATTTTATACACCTAGGTGTGACGGCACCTATCATTTGCATACGACTTAAATAGTTATAAAAAAATTAGTAAAATCGATTGTGATGATATAAGTCTATACACAAACATACAGGACTAAATTTAATCTACAATTAGAGAAACAAAAATAATAAAATCAGACATTGAATAGTACTCATACAACGCAGATAAAATTTGTTATTTTTGTTTCTTCATATATCGATCGAATTTAGACTTGCATTTTTGTATAGTGTCTTAATTATCATGGCCTATCTTATTAAATTATATAAACTTTTTATATAATTGTTTAAATTGCATGCATATACCTAAGTGCCATAGCACCTAGGTGTAGAAAATACTTTCTCAGCATGTGGATGCTAACCTCTCAACCTAAGCGCCAATGGGCCTAGTGCTAAGGTATAGGACTTGATTAGAAGCTCCGAAGCTTGGCGAGCCCGTGGCGGCACTGGAGTTGATGGAGCTCATCGTAGACAGCAGTGGCATGGAAGAGAAAGGAACCGGTACCAGCATGAGAGTCCAACGCCATTGGAAGTCGAGACTGCGGTGGCGTCACTGAGCTAGGCGCCACTGCTTCATTGATAAGTCCCCTACCACAGCGCTAGGTCCATTGACGTTGAGGTTGGGAGTTTAGTGTCAGATATTTTGGTACTAATCTCTTGCCACGTTGGCCCTACAACTCATCTAGGGTGTCAGACAGTAGGGGTATCATCGTCAAGTCCTCTGGTGCTATGATGTTACTCCCTCCGTCTCAAAAAAAAGGCAAACCCTGAGTTTCCGTGTCCAATTTTAATTGTCCGTCTTATATGAAATTTTTTTATAATTCGTATTTTCATTGATGTTAGATGATAAAACATGATTAATATTTTATGTGTGACTTGTCTTTTTATTTTTTTCATATTTTTTTTAAATAAGACGGACGGTTAATAGATGGGCACGGAAACCAGGGTTTGTCTTTTTTTTAGGACGGATGGATTAGATCTCAACATCATCTATCTATTATCTATCTATCTATTATATACTAAAAGTCCATTAAACTTCCTACAAACGCACTCAAGCTGCCACGTGGGACTCCTACAAACGTTCTTAGGCTGCCACGTAGCTCTATCAAATCTAACCGTCGATTTTCACTTAAATTGGTGTACCTAATATTTTAAACCATTAGATTACCACAGGCCCCACCCTACACGCGCGTGTATGGTGTATCTAATCGATCGGAATTAAGAAACCGAAGCGTCGCGCCGTCACAGGACTCTCTGTATCTCTCCTCCTCGCCCTCGCGAGTCGCGACGCCGACGCGATCAGCGATCTGATCAGATCGTGAGAGCGAGCGCCACCGGGCCACGCGCGCGCGTCGACACCTTGGCCGGCTGCCGCCGCAGCTGCAGCCGCAGTGCCGCACTAGCGCACTGCTGCAGAC